CTTTCTATTTTCTAACCATTGGAGAAATGTCTAGAAGTGCTAATTTAGACCATTTTTAATCAAGGACTTTTCTCATCAGGATTAATTTTGTTTTTGGTAATCATTGGTTTTGGGGGAGTATTTGGTGAAATCCTATCGCTATTTTTCAGAAAAAACAGCGTAAATAATTTTGAAATAAATATTTGATTTTGATTTTCAAAAAGCATTTTTCTTGTAAAAGTCAGATGAGCCTGAAATAATGAGAAGAATAATTGATAATGAATATTCTGAAACTCATGATAATAAGTAGATGAGTAGAGTGAAGGAGAATAGTTTGTTAAGATCTAAAGTAACTTCATCTTTAATCCGACCCGACAAGTCTAACCTACTTAGAAGTTTAAAGGAGCACCTCGCAAATTATAAACTAACATAAGACCTTCTGTTGCAATTCATAACTTTGCTTTTAGAACCTAAAATTAGAACCAATATGTGCACGCAAAACTCGAGTAGTATTTCGCCAATTTGTTGTTTTAAACTCAAGCTAGAAACAAGCGCATTATAGAGGTCAGAGGACGGACTCTATCGAAACTAGGTTAGAAGTATTCAAATATATATTTCTTTATAACCAGCAACTTTATATAACTACAAAAAACTGATCACACGAGTATATGGATAATCCCGCGTTCTTCTTCTGTTGTGGAACTCTGTTTTGGAGGCCGCAAAACATCGTCTTCCACACTNTGGCAGCCGGTACATCCGTCATCTTCACGAAGTTAGAAATAAAGTTCGGAGTACTGGAAAAAAAATCACTGAATGTTCTTCGTCGGGGTCACCAATATAGAGGTCGGAGGACGGACTCTATCGAAACTAGGTTAGAAGTATTCCAATATATATTTCTTTATAACCAGCAACTTTATATAACTACTAAAAACTGATCACACGAGTATATGGATAATCCCGCGTTCTTCTTCTGTTGTGGAACTCTGTTTTGGAGGCCGCAAAACATCGTCTTCCACAGCATTACATTTAAAAAATCAATATGCCTAGGGCTACAAAAAAGTATAAGTACGTTCGTGAGGTAACACTAAAGGTCAGGGCGTTGCGACACTTTAAAGTCGAAGCTGTAAAAATATCTATTGACTAACTTTCAAAGTTGTCTCTATCTCATTGTGTGAAAGTGACATTTAACGAAATCCATAATAAACAATGATTTAGTGAGAAAAAAAAATTGGAATACAGTGCCAAAAATCCTAGAATATAATGGAATATTTGTCAAACATAATTCCTCGTCGGGAATCTCGTGATCAATCCCTTTAATATGTCAAGTTCCCAAGCTGTCGAGCTGTCAAGTTGTTAAGCTGATTTGTTATAGTTCTAATGTATTCTATATTATCTCTCTTCACATTCATATTGTAAATCAATACTTAATAAAAAAAATGTTTTTGGAAATAATTGAATTCTAATACATTAACCTCTTTAAAAATAATTAAGGTAAGAAAAGTTACTTTAGGTCAAAAGTTTTGCATGAAATTGCGCCAATCTGCAATGTGCTTTATTTCACTCTCAACTAGGCTTTTGGTGCTCTCTGCAGTGATTTTCAATTTATCAGCTCTATAGATTAAACTGCAATTAAATAATCTTTGTATAAGTAGTAGAACGGTCTACTACCGTTTCTCAAACGGTGCCTTCACTTCACTCAAACGAATCATTTCAACTATAGACGGTTCAATCTTAGACAGTTCAATCTTAGACAGTACGTTTAACCTTGAACAATTCAACCTTAGACAGTTCAACCTTAAACAGTTCAACCTTAATCAGTTCAACCTTAGACAGTTCAACCTTAGACAGTTAAACTTTAAACAGTTCAATCTTAAACATTTTAAGCTTAAACAGTTTAAGCTTAGACAGCTTAGCTTAGACAGTTCAACCTTAGACAACTTTGCAGTGAATATCGAGTTCAATTGAAATGTTCGAATTCGAATTTGAATTGTTGAAGCTAAGCGTTATCCTCAAAAGTTTTTCCCCAGAATGTGTAAATTTAGATAATACAAGAAGATAATGGAAAGTATAAAAACTGGTAAACTTGAAAGAGTATAAAGTGTTTGTCTACAACTATAAATTTGTGAAAGTGGTGCAATATATAAACATTGGAACAAATACCTTTTGTTATATTGAAATATAAGTTTCCTGTGATTTTGTATTAAAGGGATTGTTAATTAATTTTAAGAAGAAAAACCTCAATTTATCTAAGAATTGGGAATACAACGTGTGGCAAATTTTATGGTTTAAAGATGTCCATAATTGATACTTTAAGTAAAAATGATTATGCGTTTTTATGTCGTGGTATTGATGAAAATTCTTCCTTTGATGGCTCAGTTATTTTATAACTTAATCCTAGATTTCTAATAACTTAAACAAAAGCTTTTTGTTTTTCCTTGTTTACAAGTTACAATAAAAACAATACATGTCCTATAAATCTAGAAATTGGAAGATAAACATATTTACGATCATATTTGTAAATTACTTCACTATCAATCATATACATATATATATACAGAAATGTATGCAAGTATGTTGTATATATCTCACGTATACGTGTAGAGCATTATAGGTATAAATGTATGTATTTTATTTTATTAATCTGTATATATCCATGTACGTACAGGGTGACTCAAGAAAAGGACACATGTATTTTAAAGATCTCTTTTGCTTATAAAGGACAAAAATGTGGGTCAATCCTTGTATAAATTCCGGGTCCGCACTCCGCATCCTTGTTCTTGTTTTAAGTTGAGTCAAAAACCCGTAATTTGAGACTTTACAATTAATAAAAACAATAAATTTTAGTTTTAGAATTTTATTATAGATTAAATTCTTTTTTTAAACAAACAGGTTAAAAGTATTAGGTAGGAATCTGTATATTGTATGATATTTTAAGATATCTATGTCTTGTTACCTATGTAAAATGGTGTCTCTAATAAGTCTCAGTTTTAGATTTTCTTCCATAAGCGAGGTTAGAGCATTAAGTCGTACACTAAAACGTATTTATATTTTCTTTGTGTTTGTATATATAAAATGTATTAAGGTGCCTCGACAGAAACGAAGAGAGCCTCAATTTTGAATTGATTTGATATTTTTACAAATACAGATTTGATATTAACTGTAAATATTATATAAATAATATCTGATCATTTTGTCTGATTTTAGGTTCTTTTCCAGAATCTTGTTGACAAACCTGGGCTTCACACAACCATGCTAGATTTTTTACTTTTTGCCCTGGGATAAAACCTTTTAAAGATATTCTCGTAAACTTTTTTAAAGACACCCTATATAGATTTACCCATCCCAGTTGGATATATCATCAAATCTGAATATCTATCTATCATCATTTGTTTAGAAAAGGATAATAAGAATTATAGGAAAATTGACAGGATGAAAAATCTATTATCTGACAAAAGAAAACGAAGTAAAAAAATGAATACCTTCCAACTAATAAAAAAAAATTTCGGGTTTTGTAATAGAAAAATTAAGTTTATAACTGATTGCAAAGTCTTTCATAAAAAGTACAAGTTTACAAATGAAGAAATGCTGCCATTAGCACCGAAACTTTTTATGAAACTAAATTAGAGAAACTTTTGGATTAAACCTTAAACCAATGCCTAGCCATGTGTACTTTATTTACCCTTATTGAAATAAATCTCTCAGATTTTGAAATATAGATATTGATATTCATAAACTTTGGCAATTTATGTAAAATATTCTCAAACCTGTTATTTTCTCTTTTAACATCGTTTCTTCGCCGTTTATTCTAACCTTTCAGCACATGAAAGTTTAAACCACGGTCATTTTCTCTCACTTTTTTGATAATATATGATTTCAAAAACTACTCTATCTACTTAAAGGGACTGTAAAGGAAAAATGAAAGGGGGTATAGGATGAAACCTGAGAATCTCAGGAGTTGAAGGATACATATAAGACATCATCTGATGTTCCTGTCTCGAGAAATTTACTTAAAACTGTGTCAAAATTATACCAAAATGTATATACGTAAGATATACGTCCGTATCACATGACCAGAACTCCCTTCTATGGCAGTGCACTTTACTGGTCACTTGATACAGACGGAGACATGTGACAATAATACTAACTACACTGCCATTGTTTGAAGTTCTGATGACATGTTCCGGACGCATAAATAATATTATCAACTATCTCTATTAAAAATGAAAAAATATTAAATTCAAATAATAATAGGAGCAAACTTGAGTTTCTCAGACTCCTCTGGGATATCGTTGTTTTCAGATTGGTTGCGTATTTGTTTACTATGATCTGTACTTTAATACTACGAATCTTTTTATACCCCCTTTAATTGCGTAACTTGAATGAAATAAAATTCGGTGATGATGATGGACCAAACCTCTGTAGAGTTAATAAAGTAGACGTTAGTTCCACATTTTATTGAAATGATATTTCGGTTTGGGTTGACCCTTGTCAATTCTAACGATAAAATAACCATCAAAATCGATATTTATAAATTATAATTAAAATAATTTTTAAAAAAAATAAATAAATAAACAAACAAAAAAGATTTTTTTTAAATGGGTCGTCAGGTGGAAAAAAGAGAAACGAACTCAGAATATAATATGGAAAAAGATAATTTGCAAATATTCACTTTTTAAAGAATGTTTTAAGACAATTATTAATCCAATTGATATTGTTTAATGTCAGGAAGATTCCAAACAAACTGTTTATATGTATGAGTATAAAGTGGTGTTTAGGGTCAATCTAATTAAAGTATTTTACTTAAATGGAGCTTGTTTAAGAAGGAATATTTAAATTTTTTAAAGAATTGGACATAAACAATACTTTTTACAGTTTAGATTAAAATAAAACCAATTTTTTCTGTTCATTCATTTGAATTTAGTCATAAAATATCTGATGTATTTAGATTCTCGTACTTCAAGTAAACTTCTCCCGATGTCCCAAACCTTCTCTAGTACGCTAACTTTGAATGAAAAAAAACGACAGATTCAAAATTCTAATTTGACGATTACAATTTCTTTTCATGTATTTTGAAGACCAAGCAAGTGTCCAGTTGAGGATTCTTACATGTACAATGTATTCCAGTTTCTTTCTCCGGGGCCTTGACAACATTCTCAAGCATAGTTACAGGATCAAGGAACAGAGCAACAGTTTGACCCTTCCAGCAACCTTTATTCCTGGGAACATCAGGGATATCCTCAACCGCAGGAGGAGCCCAGGAGGGACCCTTTGGAGGAGTCCTGGAGGGACCCCTCCAAGGAAGACTCTTCATCCAAGGTTTCATGGGACCTTTTGGAGGAAGATTTGGTGGCTCAATTGGTTGTCTTTTGGGTGTTTGTGGCCAATATGGATATTCTGGTCGACCTGGTCCTCCTCTGGGTATTTGGGACCACTTGGGCATCTTTGGACCGCTTGGACCTACTTTGGGGGATTGAGACCACGGACTTCCAGGAACCCTACTATTAGGTTGTGGGGACCAAGGGGTCATTGGAAAAACTGGATATCCTTGGAATATTGGGGACCATGGATATCCTGGAAAACTAGGACCACCTTGAGGTTGTTGGGGCCAAGGGCTCCTTGGAAAACCTGAACTAACTTGGGATATCGGAGACAACGGATATCCTGGAAAACTAGGACCCCGTTGAGGTTGTTGGGGCCAAGGTGTCCTTGGAAAAGCTGGACCACCTTGATACATTGGGGACAACGGATTTCCTAGAAAACTAGGACCACTTTGAGGTTGTTGGGACCAAGGGGTCCTTGGAAAAAATGGTCCATCTTGAATCATTGTGAACCATGGATATCCTGGAATACCAGGACCACCTTGAGGCTGTTGGGGCCAAGCTGGACCACCTTGGAACATTAGGGTTGTCGGATTTCCTGGAAACCCAGGACCACCTTGAGGTTGCTGGGACCACGGGGACCCTTGAGCTAAAGGACCTCCCTTAGGCATTTGTAACCATGGTGTTCCTAGAAAACCAGGACCCCCTTGAGGTTTTCGGGACCATGGGGTCCCTCGATCAACGGGGCCGCCATTAGGTCTTTGGGACAATGGGGACCCTCCAGGTCCTCCAGGTTCTCTACGACCTGCAGGTCCTGCAGGTCCTCCAGATCCTCCAGGTCCTACAGGTCCTCCAGGTTCTCTAGGTTCTCTAGTTCCTTTAGGTCCTCTGGGTTCTCTAGGTCCTCTAGGTCCTCTACGTCCTCTTGGTTCTCTAGGTCCTCCAGGTACTCTAGTCCATCTAGGTCCTACAGGTCTTCCGGGTTCTTCAGGTCCTCCTGGTCCTCCAGGTTCTCTACGTTCTCCAGGTCCTTCAGGACCTCTACGTCCTCCAGAACTTCCAGGTCCTCCACGTCCTCTAGGCCATCTAGGTCCTAGAGGTCCTCCAGGTTCTTCAGGTCCTCCACGTCCTTCAGGTCCTCTACGTCCTCTAGGTCCTCCAGGTGCTCTACGCCCTCCAGGTCCTCCAGGTCCTCTAGGTCCTCCAGGTCCTCTAGGTCCTCCAGTTCCTCTAGGTCCTCCAGGTCCTCTAGGCCATCTAGACTCTAAAAGTCCTCCAGGTTCTCCAGGTTCTCCAGGTTCTCCGGGTTCTCCAGGTCCTCCAGGTTCTCCAGGTTCTCCAGGTCCTCCAGGTTTTCCATTATCTGGATTCCACTTTTCTCCAAACAGCCGTGACCATTGGTCTTCCAGTGTTTCATGATCATCTTTATCATCTTTAAACTTATTGATGCCTAATATTACAGAATTCTTTCCTGCGTCTAGACCACTGGGAGTTTCAATAGAAGAATTTTTATCAGAAGAAAAAGGTTCTCCAAAGCTGAAGACTGTAAAAAGAATTAGAATCCCCAGGACAGATTGCTCCATACTGACAATTAGTTCTCAGACCTCTGAGTAGTCTAAACGTTCTGTCTGTGTTTATAAGCTATTACAAAAAGAAATATAATGACAAAACTAAAATTTTAATTTTAATGTTTTAATAAATTCATTTTTAACCATCAGTAAAATCAAATTCAGGACATTTATGAACCTTGTAAAATCAACACCTGGGAATGAAATCTGGAAAAAAAGTAGGTTTAATTTTTTTTTTTTTGAGAAGAAAAACTTTCCTATTTTCAGCTGGGAAAAAAACAAATAATTTTTTTTTTATAATTTCAGAGAATCAAATTCAATTTTTATAAAATAAATAATTGATTTGATTATTACCTGAGTATGCTTGTTAAAGGTTTTGTGTCTAACCTTAATGTACTGAAAACAAAGTTTATATCGTAGTACTGTTTTCTCTTCTATTTTTTCTCGCCTTGTTTGAAGTCAGCTATATCAGAGCAGGCAATCCTAGCACAGCTAAAGAGATATTCTAGTTTTTCCATCAAAAAATTTATTTTCAATTTAATTTAAAACTGTTATTTGCTTATTTTAATGGTTACTGAGATGATAGTTTAAAGGATATACCTAATACAAGTATAGATATAAGGTCACTAAAAATTACATTGAAAGTCTGATGAAGATCCAAAGTGTGATCAAAGAGATTAGAATTGGATTAATCAGCGATGATAAACATATACTCAAACTAGAGTAAAGAAATCAGCAAGCTGGGTGTGGATGGATGGAAGGTTCTGGATAAGATGGATGACTCAAGAATTAAAAGATTTTAAAAGTATGTTTGCTAAACATACAATAGAGGGAGTTAAAGGTAAAAACTGCTCAGTGTATTAAATCAAAATGGGTTCTTGTGTTCATATTCTTTTACTAAGATCAACAGGCACTTAAGTTTTTCCTACATTTCGTTAATGATAGTTTTCTTTTGATTTCATTTATTCATATTCATATATTTATTCAACTACAAAGCATGAGATATTACAAATAAGCAATCAAAATTTACTATACAGTTTGGACCCGCCTAACCAGGGTTGGTTGTTTTAAGTGGTTGGCCCGAAGTTAATTAACGATACTGAATATAATTGGTTACACATATCAAGATATGTTTTTGGATAGGTAGGGAGTTGATTGGAAGGAAGGAGATTGTCAGGTGATCTGTGGCAGGGTGAGATCAGAGGGATTTTTATGTAGAGATAAATTAAATACAGGGTGTTAATGATGGTAGATACAGAAACAGAAATAAGCTAATAAAGTTTCAGATATTTTAGTTTTTTATATAAAATTTATTCACACGATATACAACTAGGTTTTTCGCATTTAAACCTCTCATAATTCTCAAGATAAATTTTGCAGATTTAGTTTCTTAAAGGTAAAAATCAAATTGCATTCCACAATTTAGCAAACATTGATGACGGAAAGCTTTCTGAATTTCAGATTTCAATGTGTGTAATACGTGATTACTTATTGGTATTTTAAATAACACACTAATTTGTAATAATTTCTAGGAGGCTCTTCTGTAATAAGTTTAGATATGCTTTTTTGCTTGTTGACACACCCATACTTGTAGAAATATACACATCCATACAGGTCCATGAGGCAGTTATAAATGTTATGCATACAGGTCCAGGAGGCAGTTTTAAATGTTATGCATACATTTTTAAGACTCACTTACTCTCCAAAATATTTGTGTAACCTTAGCCATGTAAATTTCAGATATATATAAAGATTGTTTCTAGTTTCAGTTTAAAAGAAGTAATTGGCAAAATGTTTGTATATATCTTTGGGTGAAAGCGTGCTCATTTTGAATCACTTTGCAGTTTTTTGTAATTAAGATAATTAATTGTTCTGTGAATGTTTTCGTGAATTCTTCAATTCTGACCCCGAGGCTTATTATATTGCAAACTGCAAACGGCAAATTCCAAACTGCAATTATCTTTATTTACCATTCTCTAAAGTATATTGTATTTTATACTGCGATAAATTCTTTCTATTCTGCATATTTGCGAACCACAACATTTTATTCCGTGCAACTGTTTAGCTATACAGTGTGTCCTATGGAAAATTTTCTATCTATACATTGTGTTCCGTGGAAAATGTTCCTGTTTAGCTGTAAAATGTGTTCCGTGGAAAATGCTCCTGTTTAGCTGTAAACTGTGTTCCGTGGAAAATGCTCCTGTTTAGCTGTAAATTGTGTTCCGTGGAAAATGTTCCAGTTTAGCTGTAAACTGTGTTCCGTGAAAAATGTTCCAGTTTAGCTGTAAACTGCAGTTCCGTGAAAAATGTTCCAGTTTTGCTGTAAACTGTGTTCCGTGGAAAATGTTCAAGTTTAGTTGCAAAATGTGTTCCGTGGAAAATGTTCCAGTTTAGCTGTAAACTGTGTTCCGTGGAAAATGTTCCTGTTTAGCTGTAAACTGTGTTCCGTGGAAAATGTTCCAGTTTAGCTGTAAACTGTGTTCCGTGAAAAATGTTCCAGTTTAGATGTAAACTGTGTTTTGTGGAAAATGTTCAAGTTTAGTTGTAAACTGTGTTCATTGGAAATGTTCCTGTTTAGGTGTAAACTGTGTTCCGTGGAAAATGTTCCAGTTTAGCTGAAAACGTGTTCCGTGGAAAATGTTCCTGTTTAGCTGTAAACTGTGATCCTGTTCACCTATAAACATTTTTGAAAATCTTGGCAAAGTTGGCTCCATTGTGTTTTTCTCTATATTTTACTAATTATTTAATTCCTTAACTTCAGATTTTCTGATGAACAAAAAAAAGCGTTTGAAATTCTAATTTTAAGTTTTATTTTAACACATCCTGTATTTTGTATTCTGTAAAATATAAAGTGTATACCAATATAAACACAACTCAAGCCCGCAGACACATATTATATATTTGTCCAAAGAGAGATTCTGGACCGGAGGATAGACGCTAGAGGACGGTTCATCATAATACTCATCCTCCGAGGTTCTAGAGTCCCGGGACCTTTTATTTTGGGTGAATACTAGTCTCTGTATGTAGATATATTCCGTGTTAAGGAGATATCCTAGATATTTCTTAGAAACATGCTAGACATATTCTAGATATCACAGGTATATCTTGGGTATCACAAATATATCCTAGATATCACAAATATGTCCTAAATATCACAGATATATCTAGGATATTACAAATTAATCATAGATATCAAAGATATATCCTAAATATTACAGATATATCCTAGATATCACAGATATATCCTAGATATCACAGATATATCCTAGATATCCTAGATATATCCTAGATATCCTATATATATCCTAGATATCACAGATCTATCCTAAATTTCACAGATATATCCAAGATATCCTAGATATCACAGATCAATCCTAGATTTCACAAATGTATCCTAGATATCACAGATCTATCCTAGATATCATAAATATATCCTAGATATCACAGATATATCCTAGATATCGCAGATATATCATGGAAATTACAGATATTATCCTAAATATTATAGATATATTCTAGATTTTACAGATATCCTAAATAACATAGATGTATCCTAGAGATCACAGAGATATTTCTAAATATCACAAATATAACTTAGATATCACAGATATGTCCTGATATCTAAGATATATCCTGATATCTAAGATATATCATGATATCTAAGATATATCCTAATATCTAAGATATATAATGATATCAAAGATGTATCCTAGATATCAAAGATACATCCTAGATGTCACAGATATATTTTGATAACATAGATATATCCTAGAGATCATAGATCTATCCTAGATATCAAAGATGTATCCTAATAACAGAGATTTATCCTAGATTTCACAGATGTATTCTGAAATGATAGATATTTCCTAGATATCACAGAAATATCCTAGATTTCACAAATATACTCTGATATGACAGATATTTCCTAGATATCACAGAAATATCCTAGATTTCACTAATGTACTCTGATATCATAGATATATTCTGGAGATCACAGATCTATCCTAGATATCAAAGATCTATCCTAGATTTCACAAATATATCCTAGATATCACAGATATATCGTAGATATCTTTTTAATCAGTATCTATATAGAAAATAATTTATCTCATTAAATTCAAGCTAATTAAAATTCATAGATAAGAGGTATTTTCTAATTCTGATCATCTGGTATATTTGATAAACCTGATTAGATTTTTTGACAAACTATGAAGAAAGGCATTGCATACGTCTAAAAATAAATTCAAATTTGATATAATGCTGTTCTTGATCATTTTAAAACAAACCTAACTACAGATCAAATAGATCATATATATTCCAAAGATTAAATATATAGATAAACTATAAATCTTTTTTAAATAAATCTCAAACATCCAATACATCTTATATCTCAAATAGATCTCCGAAATCTAAAATATCTAATACTAAGATAAAATATATGTCAAATACACCAAATAGATCAAATAAATCTAACACATCAAATAGATTAAATATATAAAATATATCTAATAAATAAACTGAATCAAATTTATTAAATAAATCTAAACCATCTAATATATCTAATATTAAATAGACCTAATCTATCTAATATATCTAATTTATCAATAAGCAATATGCAATTATTGAAGAACACAAGAGTACGTATAAAAATATGAAGAGTCAAACATCAACATATCTTAATAGATAATCCGTTTTTATAAAAAAAAAGTCTTTAAACTGACATAATGTGAAAATGATCCAGTAGAAGTTATTCTGAAACTCCTTGAATCCGTATCTCAGATCTGGAAAAACAAAAATATAGGATTTCATAGTTTTCATATTTTAACATATTTCCTTGACTGGGTGTTTATGTAAAGCTTGCTTTGATTTCCTCTAAATAAATAAAGTAAAATGTTTTGTGTTTTTAAAACATCTTCAACATCTTAATGAGGAGGTCCATGAGGCACGGTAAACTAGAGGTTCTGGTTTAAAAGTATAGTGAGTCTCAACTTCAGAACCCATTTTAAACCATTAATTGTAGATTTTTTGTATTTGCTGTTCATTACTTTTTTGTTGGCTACAGCAATTTAGATATTTGAGTTAGTGTTACGATGCACGTGGATTTAACTGTTCGTTCAGTCCTTATCAAGGAGAAATGTATAAATTTTACTTTTTTAAACGAAACAGAAAAAAGACAAATCGTAAGTATGAAGATTGTTGAGTTATAGACCAAAAGATGATTTAATTCAAATAGAAACCCGAATGCATCTCACCCTGGTTAGTCCGGTTCCCAGGTTGGTGGGGGTTTATCTATAGGAAGCCTGGAAAGATGTAACGTGAGGTTTATAACACTCCTGTATGCTGAGTCCATTAGCGCCTGATCCAATCAGGGTTCAGTCATATGTTTGCTGTCTATTCTGAACCAACAGAAATAGTATGGCGGTAACATCTCTCTTTCTTTATATCTCATTATCCAATTAGAGTTACGAATACTTCAATCGGCGCTATCATTAAATGGAAATATTTACTGATGGAAAATAGAAGAAATGAAAGAAAACGTGTCTGAGGAAGAGAAGGGGAAGAAAAAACGTTAAAAGTTTAAATAACAACAGCGAGAAAAAAATCAACAAATCCTGAGCTACCTGCAGCGAAACAAACATTGACAGAAAATGATTGTCAACACATTTCTTCAAAACTTTTTTTTCTTGATTCAAGGAACAAGTCTAAGATGGCACCTGTTGGTTTGTTTACGAAAAAAAATGTTAAAGAAAACGTTTTAAAACATTTATATATAATCCACAGACATCCTAAGAGCGATGAAAAGTTTTTAAAAATGTTCAAGACTAGGCAGACTTTTTATAAGTGGAACGCTTTGGCCTTTGGTTTTATCTCACTAACTACATGACCATGGTTTCAGTAGAAGTAAATATTTCCATTTACTGATAGCGCCGATTGAAGGATTCATAACTCCAATTGGATAATAGGATAGATAGAAAGATAGATGTTACCGCCATACTGTTTCTGTTGGTTCAGAATAGACAACAAACACATGACTGAACCCTGATTGGATCAGGCGATAATGGACTCGGCATACAGGAGTGACTCACTTCTACTTTTGTGTAGTCCTATTTATTACATGCACATTATAGATCTATACATGGACATTATAGATCTATACATGCAATTGTGTTTAGCTAAAGTTTAAAAGCAGTAATTTGCATATTCTGATCGATATTTGCGTGAGAGCTGGCAACCTTTGGTCACAATTTCAGATCAACTTTTAAAATGTATTTTTTCATGATTATAATTCTTGTCCTGAGCATGTTAATGGGGTTCAGGTAAATAAGAAAATATTTCTATATTCAATGATTAAAACTAGGGTTCAAATTTAATCAATTGAAAGAAGTAGTTGAACTACGTAGACCTTGTTGAACCATTTATACCGTGCGCCGGTTCAAGTATAAGAAAATTAGTACAACTCCCAATTTCTCAGAAAAATTTTAAGTTTTTAAATTGTATATTTCAGCGCCGGATACAAAGTTTACAGTTTTCATCATCTTAACTCCACTAGAACTAAGAGAAATACTCAGGTATTTTTAAACTAATATAAAATTCTTTTTATCTTTGTATGTTTTGTTTTCGGTTACGTAATAACAGCTGATTAGCGATGGTTATGTAATATTCTCCATAAATCCTTTTCTCTGATTGGTTCAGATTTTTCCCGGGAAATTCCAATTTAAAATTGAGAAAGTTTAATATTTAAGTAGCTATTCATCCTTTTACAGAACTTTTAACCACGAACTTAAAATTCGCGCATTCTTTAGTTTAAGACTCTGGAAGAAACTAATAGTTACTATAGTTTTGACGGATCAAGTGATGCCGCCAGCAAAACTTTTTAAAAATCAAAACTTAAAAATCGAACTAAAGAAATTGAGTCCTTGCCTCAATCCAAATTTTCTAATCCTTATATCCTTGCAAACTCATGGTTTAAACCTTTGATATTTCCAACTTAGCTAATTTGGTCTAAAAGAATTCATAATTTTAAATATTAAAAGTTTCCGGCATTTGGGTTGTAACTTGAAAAGATATAAGGATTAGAAAATCAGAGTTTGTGTCAATGACTTAATCACTTTATTCAGGGATGGAAAGGGGGTGCCATGGGTAGGTAATATTCTCCAAGGTTTATATTATAATAACTCCTCATGGTTTAGATGATAAATCCATGGTTTAGGTAATATTCTCCAAGGTTTATATTATAGTAACTCCTCATGATTTAGGTAATATTCTCCAAGGTTTAGATGATAAATCTATGGTTTAGGTAATATTCTGCAAGGTTTATATTATAATAACTCCTCATGGTTAAGATGAGAAATCCGTGGTTTAAATGATAAGCTTCATGTGTTTTTACTTTACTTAAAAAGTATTGGTCAACTCCTAGACTTTTTCAATTCATTGCCTGAATTATAGGCATACTTCCTTGTCGTTTAGGTTTTAAAGATTAAATCTCAATTCAAGAAAACTTAAATTATGGTATTTTATGAGCCATTAATATTTTTTTTTATAAGAATAGTACGATTCAATTATACAGGGGCGTACGAATTATCAGAATTCTTTCTGATTTATTAAAAAGAATACATAATTTAGCAATAAAAATATATACCATTTGAAATTTAATATTTTTGAGATATAATATATTTAAGCAGCCGCAGGAGGCAAGCTTAACAGAAACATTAAGTAGTAATGTAACCCGGATCCTGGAAGGATTACTGAAGGTGAGTTGACCTGAATAAATTACATGACAACATTGATCAGTTAACACGTACTTTGCCTTTCAATTAAAATTTTTGTAAAACTGCTTTTTAAATCTGGTTAAATCTGTGCTAGGACTGATGATGTAAAAAAAACATCAAAATGTATTTCCCCTTTTCAAGTTGTGCATTTTACAGATAGAGAACACTTTTAACCAATTCGGATTTTTACAATATGTTTTTTATTCACAGCTAGCTTTGATCAACCAATAAGTTCAATTTACAGTTTTGACTAACCAATATTTTCTAAGGTTTGCTCTGACTAACCTTTCTATTTTATTGCATTAAAGCTTTAACTAACCAATATTTTCTATCGACTGGTCTGACTTACCGATATCTTCAACTTACAGCTAAGACTAACCAATATCTTATACTAACAGCTAAGACTAACCAATATCTTATACTAACAGCTAAGACTAACCAATATCTTCTACTAACAGCTATGACTAACCAGTATCTTATACTAACATCTATGACTAACCAATATCTTATACTAACAGCTATGGCTAACCAATATCTTCTACTAACAGCCATGGCTAACCAATATCTTCTACTAACAGCTATGACTAACCAATATCTTCTACTAACAGCCATGGCTAACCAGTATCTTATACTAACAGCTATGACTAACCAATATCTTCAACTAACAGCTATGGCTAGCTAATATCTTATACGAACAGCTATGACTAATCAATATCTTCTACTAACAGCTATGGATAACCAATATCTTCTACTAACAGTCATGGCTGACCAATATCTTCAACTAACAGCTAAGACTAACCAATATCGTCTACTAACAGCCATGGCTAACCAATATCTTCAACTAACAGCTAAGCCTAACCAATATCGTCTACTAACAGCCATGGCTATCCAGAATCTTATGCTAACAGCTATGGCTAACCTATATCTTCTACTAACAGCCATGGCTAACCAATATCTTCTACTAACAGCTATGACTAACCAATATCTTCTACTAACAGCCATGGCTAACCAGTATCTTATACTAACAGCTATGACTAACCAATATCTTCAACTAACAGCTATGGCTAGCTAATATCTTATACGAACAGCTATGACTAATCAATATCTTCTACTAACAGCTATGGATAACCAATATCTTCTACTAACAGCTATGGATAACCAATATCTTCTACTAACAGCTATGGCTAACCAATATCTTCTGCTAACAGCTATGGCTACCAATATCTTCTATTAACAGCTATAACTAACCAAAATCTTCGACTAATAGCTATGACTAACCAATATCTTCTACTAACAGCTATGACTAACCAATATCTTCTACTAACAGCTATGACTAACCAATATCTTCCTACTAACAGCTATGACTAACCAATATCTTCTACTAACAGCTATGACTAAGCAATATCTTCTACTAACAGCTATGAATAAGCAATATCTTCTACTAACAGCTATGGCTAACTAATATCTTCTACTAACAGCTATGACTAACCAGTATCTTATACTAACATCTATGACTAACCAATATCTTCTACTAACAGCTATGGCTAACCAATATCTTATACTAACAGCTATGACTAACCAATATCTTCTACTAACGGCTATGACTAACCAGTATCTTCTACTAACAAGCTATGGCTAACTAATATCTTCTACTACAAGCTATGACTAACCAATATCTTATACTAACAGCTATGGCTAACCAATATCATATACTAACAGCTATGGCTAACCAATATCTTATACTAACAGCTATGGCTAACCATTATCTTATACTAACAGCTATGACTAACCAATATCTTCTACTAACAGCTATGGCTAACTTATATCTTCTACTAACAGTTATGACTAACCATTTACTATGTTTTATTTTCAGGATTATGATAAAACTGAGAGGCCAGATTACGTTTCAGGTTTATTTTTTTCATAATTGAATTCTCTATCTTGACAAATTAGTTCAGACGACCTCTCCGCAATCCAATTCTTAAGCGGAGGAGGTTCTATTTCCGTTTTGATCAATTTACCATGCATATTTAATCTATATGATAAAGCTCTTCGCTCATATATATATATATGATTTTTATATATGTTGTTAGCCATAGCTGGCCAAACGGCTGGACCGAATGGGCTGAAATTTGAGGGAACTCTTGAGTACCCCGGCGGTAACAAAGGCTAAAAAAATTACCAAAATTTTATTTTTTAAATAGAATTTTTTTTTAACCTAAGTTAACGCCGGGGTACTTAGGGTTCCCTAAAAAAAATGTCGACCAATTCAGTCCAGCCGTTCAGCCAGCTATAACGAACGTATATATATACATATATATATATAAATGTATGTATATTGTATCTCTATCCAAATATATACATATATATATGAGCGAAGAGCCTTATTACATAGATATATATATACAGTTTATTTACAGTGTCCAGTGTATACTGTGTCCAAATAGTTTGCAAAATACATAATTCTGATGCTGTAAATCTATTTAATGCTTATACCTTGGCATTCACCTCATATTACTATATTTATAAATCAACTGATGGAAACCGAAGAAATATATTGACAGGAAACTTTACAGAAAAGCAGAAATAGTTTTAACCCTTTTCTCGTCGTTCAAAAGTGACAATTAGAATCACTCTTGGGTCAAACAACTATTTGGAACTGATCCCCCTGAATAATATTAAAAATATGCAACTTCAGAGAGGGACAACAAATGTGAGTTCAGAATTTGATGCATAAAAAAGAATATCTCAAATTTAATTTTCACCTGTGAACACGGTTTTCGGCCACTAGGAATGTGTTTTTTAACCCATTCTGAGGACATTTTCATTCCTCTGCCCTATTACCTCTAACTATAAACCCAGAAAGTTGGATCTCTTGGGATTTTAAAATAATTTGTAAAACCAAGAAATGGATAAAAATTGATAAATGATCTTTTTCCTCCCTGATTTGAGACGGAAACCAGGATTTCCCGCCACAAATCTCGTTTGAACTGATCGTTTAATAGATAGATGAATTTATGGATCCAACCAAAACTACCACTGAGTGTTAGAAATGGGCCAAATCTGCAAAGTTATCTTTTTCAAGAGTATTTATCTTTAAATCCAAGACGAGTAGAACAAAATTACACCATATATTTAAAAAAATGGTTAAAACTATATGTTGAAACAATAAATGTCAATTTTAAACTAATAATAAGGTGTGAGAATTAGTTTTGACGATTCTTGATTTCATTTTCGAACATATTCTTATTTTGAAACAATTACGGGATTTCAGCTCATGTCGCGTTTTACGAACATATCCTGGTTTTGAGACAATTACAGGAATTCATATCAATGTCAATTTTTAAGCATTTACGCACTTTCGTAACAAAACAAATAAAACATCGATATTCTCTAATTTAACAGATAAAATGTGGAAACCTAGATTCTCGAAATAATTCAGAAGTTAATTTAAGTTAAGTTAAGATAATTTTTGTTTTCAGTGATTTATTTTGTAAGTTATATGCAAGTGAGTTTTGTTCTGAATTGAGGATTATACTCAAAAACGGGAAAGTGGGGTTTGTCTCGAAAACGCGACAATATTTCAAATTCAGGATATGTTCAAAAATGGAAAACCTGACATTGTCTTGAAAACGGTCAAGAGGTTTAAAGGGAGTGTTCGCGAAAAATAAAAGGGGGTATAGGCTTAATGCGATAAAAAAGCGCTTTTGATCGCTAATAATCTTGCTTCTATCTGTCGCGTCAATAAGGAGAAAATTGTTAAAAACGACAAATACCGAAGAACGTAGTGTCCATACAAATTCAGAAATATGCAACATACGACTTAGACCGTAAAAAATCTATTTAATTTTAAACAAATCATTCAGATATTACAACCTATAGTCATCGATTATCTTTCGCCACATTTATATATAGTTGATTTTTCATAATATGTTTTAATTGTTAGGATCTGAGAGTTACTTATAAAAACATTTATTCCTGTTTCGAGGATTTTTGGTAATGAAGACGACATTTTAATATTTTCTAGGAATGTTCGAAAACAAGTTGTAAGCTAAATATTATTTTAAAAAATAAAACCAAAACATATTATGAAAAATCAACTATATATAAATGTGGCGAAAGATAATCGATGACTATAGGTTGTAATATCTGAATGATTTGTTTGAAATTAAATAGATTTTTTTTACGGTCTAAGTCGTATGTTGCATCTTTCTGAATTTGTATGGACACTACGTTCTTCGGTATTAGTCGTTTTTAACAATTTTCTCCTTATTGACGCAACAGCTAGAAGTAAGATTAGTAGCGATCAAAAGCGCCTTTTTATCGCATTAAGCCTATACCCCCTTTCATTTTTCGCGAACACTCCCTTAATCTAAAAAGAACTCCTATTTTGATTTTGATTTTCCAAAAACTCTGTCTTTCAATTTGTGCCCATTTCTGACACTCAGTGTTATAAATGGACATTTATAGTAATTAGTATATTTTGAAATATATAGATGAATTAATGAATAAATGAATTAATTTATACATGTTTAAATATATAGATGGATAGATGTTAAAATAAATAGATGAATTAATTGTATAGGTGAATTAATGAATAGATAAATGCAAGTTAGATAAATAAAATATCTAACATTATGCTTCCTTCTTTCCGGCAAAACTAAATTTTATAATTCTTGTTTTTGTTTTCAATTTAAAAAGAATGCATTGTTTTTCTAGTATTATCAGAACATCTTATACTATTATTCTAGACCATTTGTTATAGGAACTGTAGTCGTAACTTGAAGTAGCAAGGTTAGCGCGCATGTCCGATTTACAAATGTACCCTAAAAGAATGAATGATATATCCATAGACATCTTTTTAGAAATGGATGGATTATTTCTAATTTTGGTTTTTGTTCAAAAGGGCCTTTCGCATTCTTGCTACAGAACATAGAATTAAATCATTTTTACTTAAACGTTTAAAAAGTTGTTTATCAGGGTACTTGATATTACAACGACGATCCCAATAAGAAATATGTTTTTGTTTTGTTTATTATTGCACAAACTAACAAAATTTTTATTGAAGGGAATCCAACAGAAGTAAAAGTTAATATGTTGATAAGAAGTATGGGGCCTATTTCTGAAGCAGATATGGTAAATAAATTTATCTATATATCCATATATATATATATATATAAAGTTGTAATCTCTATTTTTCTGTCTGTCTGTCTGTTTGTTTGTCCGGTCATAACTCAGGAACCCCTTGACTGATTTGCCTCAAATTTGTAATGGGGAACTCGGGAGAGCCACGGAATTGTTCTTAGCTTGATTTTGAGGTTCTAAGATGAGTGGGTCGACATGTATAGCCAAAATTTAGTTTCCCGGTAAAAAAAAGTGCAGGTAATCGGCGGGAGTAGCTCTAATTACCCCGGGCAGCGCCGGGTTCCCAAGCTAGTAGATATATTAAATAGTAATCTCTGTTCGTCTATTTGTTTGTTTGGATTTCTGATCATAACTCATGAACCTCTAAACCGATTTGCCTCAAATTTTGATTGGGTAAATTAGTAGAAACACGGGAATGTTCTGACACTAGTTTAAAAATTCTAATCTGAGAAGTCTGACTTTCAGAAAGAAAACTCCAGGCTAAGCTGGGTTCGATCCCGAGTTAGTATCTGTATAAAATATTGACATTACAATGTGACGAATAAAATTATGATTCAATGTTTCAGTTTTACTCCATGGACTGCTATTTCCGACAGTATTGGACAGATACTAGGTAATATCTCAAATTAAAATTTATACAAAATAGATATATCTTCACTTCACTCTGGACTAGCCAGGGCAATATGCATTCGGTTTCTTCTATTTGAATTTAATCTATTTAGTCTATACTTAAGCAATCTTTGAACTTTTTATTTTTCGTTTAAAGCATATGCCTAAAAAAGCTATAAAAAATAAAAGGTTAACATTTTGTGTTAAATAAGTTCAATTGTGATCGAAAGTGTAAGCTTGCAAGGATGAGAACAGAATTGTTGAATTCTCGGATCTCATGGTTCTTGTATTAATCCTCTTTATATTTGTAGGTTGAGTTTTAAAGGTTTACAGAGTAACTCCAATAATCTAGAGATAAACCAACTAAGGTATGAGGATGGACACGGACATTCATAGTCAGCGAGTTTTTACTTTCGAACCCATTTTTAATACACAATGTAGTTTGTAGTATTTTCTATTTTATCGTTTTTATTGTGAGGGAGGTGTATGTTTTAGATTTGAAAGCATTGCTATACATTACGGTTTGGACGATATTACATTAAAGGGAGTGACCGGCAATATGTGGGAGTCAAACTGAGATTGCAGTTTTATTGAGAATTTTTCTAGACTTAATTTTTAAACCTATGAAACGTTTTTACGATGCAGATTTGTTCAGCAAGAGCGCAAATGCAATCTTTAAAATCCTCATAGATTGTCCAGTTTGGAGGGATGATTTTGAGAATCAGTTTTATTTAAATTATTCAATGACGACCAAGAAAAAAGTAACAACAAATCCTACAGCTTAAACTAATTGGTTGTTTAGGAACAGGTTGAGAAAATAAGAAATAACTCAACAATCGAAAATAAGCAATCTTATTCAGTTATTGGTTTTTGTAATGTCTCAATGTTGAACACCATTTTCTGTAGATTTTCTGGAATTTTTGATGAAAAGACGACATTTGAAGAATTTGAAGAAATCTGCGAACAAATTCATGAAGAATAAGAAAATCAATATAGTGATGAAAAAAAAAACAATTTATTCTAACATTGATTTATAGACAAATTTCAATTAAGAAATATGTTCCTAAACATTACATTAATTTACTGTAGAATTTTTTTTACACTTTTTGTCTGATAAAAGATGATGGAGAAAAGATGATGGATAAATAGTTGATGGATATAGAAAGAATGAATGATGAAGAAATGATGGATAAAGGATAATGGATAAATGGTTAAAGAGATAATAGATAAAAGATTATGGATAAATAGCCGATGGATATAGAAAGAATGAATGATGAAGAATGGATGGAGATGATGGATAAAGAGATAATGGATAAAATATGATGGATAAAAGATGATGGATAAAAGATTATGGATAAAAGAGTTGATGGATAAAGAGATGATGGATAAAAAGATGATGGATTTAGAGATGATGGATAAAAAATGATGAATAAAAGGGATGATGAATAAAGAGATGATGAATAAAGAGATAATGAATAAAGATATGATGGATAAAGAGATTATGGATAAAAAGATGATGTATAAAGAGATGATGGATAAAGAGATAACGGATAAAGAGATAATGGATAAAGAAATGATGAATAAAAAGATGATGGATAAAAAGATGATGGATAAAAGATGATGAATAAAGAGATGATGAATAAAGAGATGATGAATAAAAAGATGATGGATAAAGAGATGATAGATAAAGAGACGATGGATAAAAAATGATGGATAAAGAGATGATTAATAAAGAGATGATGCATAAAGAGATGATGGATAAAGAGATGATGAATATAAAAATGATGGATAAAGAGATGATGGATAAAGAGATGATAGATAAAGAGATGATGGATAAAAAATGATGGATAAAGAGATGATGAATAAAGAGATAATGGATAAAGAGATGATGAATAAAAAGATGATGGATAAAGAGATGATGGATAAATTATATGATGTATAAAGAGATGATGGATAAAGAGATGATAGATAAAGAGATGATGGATAAAAAATGATGGAAAAAGAGATGATGAATAAAGAGATAATAGATAAAGAGATGATGAATAAAAAGATGATGGATAAAGAGATGATGGATAAATTATATGATGTATAAAGAGATGATGGATAAAGAGATGATGAATAAAGAGATGATGTATAAAGAGATGCTGGATAAAGAGATGATGGATAAATTATATGATGTATAAAGAGATGATGGATAAAGAGATGATGAATAAAGAGATGATGGATAAAGAGATGATGGATAAAGAGATGATGGATAAATTATATGATGTATAAAGAGATGATGGATAAAGATATGATGAATAAAGAGATGATGGATAAAGAGATGATGAATAAATTATATGATGTATAAAGAGATGATGGATAAAGAGATGATGGATAAAGTGATGATGGATAAAGAGATAATGGATAAAAAGATGATGGATATAGAGATGATGGATAAATACCTGATGGATATAGAGCTGATGGATATAGAAAGAATGAATGATGAAGGGATGTTGAGGAAAGATTTTACGAATCCCTTTACATAGAATTAATAATTCATAAAAACAGAATTCATCCGATCACTCATTGTACCAACCTAAATCCTTAAATACCTATGTAATGACAAAAATTGTGTCAAAAAGTTAAATGATCATTAGCTTTTCAGAATGTGGTATCATTTTTGTATCATTTTTTAAGGATTTATATGATACATATATTTATTATAGCGTTCTAAACTGCTAGAAATCAACCAATTTCGTAAAAAAAGGTTTGACAACAGCACCTAAACCTATCTTTGAAACCTGAAAAGATATGAAAAGAGAATCTTTTTTCAATAATTGGTACTAAATACATTAATCAAATATCTAAACAATCCCTTTACCTACTGAAGTGTGGTCATGCCACAAACTTTAATGTTTTAATCTAAGGTTAACACCATCAGGTGGAAAAGATACAGGGATTAGAAAATTCAATTTGTGGCAAGAACTCAGTTTCTTACCATATTTAACCATATAATCCACACACCAATCCTCAAATTCTCTGTAGTTTCAGTAGAAGTGAATATTTCCATTTACTGATAGGGCCGATTGAAGGATTCATATCTCTAAATGGATAATGAGATAGATAGAAAGGTAGATGTTACCACCATACTATTTCTATTGGATCAGAATAGACAACAAACACATGACTGAACCCTGATTGGATCAGGCGCTAATGGACTCGGCATACAGTACTGAAAATAATCCAAGTTTGTGCCAACGAATATTGTATGCTGATTGCTAATGACTTATTTTGTTAAGTTTGAACGTGAAAATGTTGGAAAAGATCTGGAAACCTGATACTTACTTTCTAAACGGTCTCAACTCATACCTTCATACTATTACTAGGTACGAAGTTTTTAATCTTAGGGATTCTTTACGGAGAAAATGGACTAGCTACGGCTAGAAACTTGTTTTCTGTCTGTGCCACTGAGATCAATTTGAACCTACAGAAATAGATCAAATAGCCGAACCTGATCTGGTTACTCTTGCTTGATGTTGATCTTTTGTTAATCTGCAGATTATCTTTATTCAATATCATACCGAAAACAAATAGCCCTTCAGAGACCAGGAAAGTTTGGTTTCAACCAATGCTTTCTATAAATTCCGACTAAAGGATTTGGAAAGTCAGTTCTTTATTTTTTATTTTTAAGGCCAAACAAGCTTCTGAGAATCTCCGAGCACGGATTTATTACATATTCAATGAGGTAATTCAGGAAATAAAAAAATATTCTTCGAAAAACTAGACCACACATATATTGAAGATATTGGTTCTAACGAGTATTTACAAAACCATTTTCAATTCAAAAAAGTAAAATTCTTGCCAGCCTTCTCATCTAGAAAGATTAAAAATGGCATCACTGTAAATCGTTGACCGGGCTCATTTTAAAGCTTTTTTTGTCGAATTCTCTAATTAGAATTTTATATTTTTTCTATTTATTTTCAGATTAACCATAAAAGCCAAATGTCCAATGATGCTTTCAAGTTTTCCGATGGATTGGCAATCCTGTCCTTTAATCCTGGGATCATGTAAGCTATTCATTAATCCTTTATTCATCCTTTAATCGTTGTATCATGTAAGATATTCATTAATCCTTTATTCATCCTTTAATCCTTGGATCATGTAAGCTATTCATTAATCCTTTATTCATCCTTTAATCCTGGGATTATGTAAGCTATTCATTAATCCTTTATTCATTTTTTAATCCTGGGATCATGTAAGCTATTCATTAATCCTTTATTAATTCTTTAATCCTAGGATCATGTAGGCTATTCATTAATCCTTTATTCATCCTTTAATCCTGGGATCATGTAAGCTATTCATTAATCCTTTATTCATTCTTTAATCCTGGGATCATGTAAGCTATTCATTAATGCTTTATTCATTCTTTAATCCTGGGATCATGAAAGCTATTCATTAATACTTTTTTCATTCTTTAATTATACTTAGGTCAAGTAAGCTATTCATTAATCATTCATTTATTAATTATTTATTTATTCTTTCCTTAAAATCATATATGATATTCCTTAATTGTTATCCTACACTGTATTTTAATGTCTGTATTAATAAGTACATAAGAAAAAGTACATAACCCCCAATAAAATGATATTCTGTAGTTGCCTACCCAGTGAATGAGGTACAATACAAATGGCAAGATCCAAGGTAAGACACTTTATTACAAATAAAGAAATTGAGTCATTGCCAAACTCAGATTTTTTAATCCCTTTATCTCTACAACCCAATGTTGTAGACCCTAGATATTTCAAACTATGAATTATGATGGATCAAATAATCAAAGTTTGAAATATCAAAGGTTTACGCCAGATCTAGTTTTAGAGATATAGGTATTAGAAAATTGGGATTTGTGGCAAAAACTCAATTCCTTTGGTATTTTTAAATTTGACATACATATTGGTGTAAAAATCATTGCATCAAAAATGTTTGGTCTACAGGCAAAAAAGATTTAATAACTTAATAACTTTACGGTAACTATATCCTTTGTTAATTAATGTTTAAGTGCCGGAGTTGGATACGAAGGAGAACTACATCTTTCACAGTTTGATATCAAGTAAAATTTATTAACCTATAATCGATTAATCGATAACTTTATTATTGTATGCATTGATTAATTGATTTAATTTCATGATTGCAGATAGCATTGCTTGATATTTGATTGTTAAAAACGCAATTCCTAGAAACTGATGATTGATGATAGCGTAACGTTAACTGGAAGTAATTTGGTTATTTATTGTTCTAGTATCTGCAGTTTTAGCATGAACTTTTCGAGCAATCATATCTGCATTGATTTAAATATCTAAACTAATAAATAAATTTAAAAATTGTGCTCTAGGGAAACTGAGTATAGAAATGTGAACTATACCAGGAAAGGATCAGGTAATGAATTATAATTAAGATTCGATTATTTACAATTAATTTATTGAATAATTAAATGAGGAACCTATTCTGTTCTACAAGTTGTTTTCCTGCTTCAACGACACACGGGTTACTTTCTAATCCAGGTATATTCAATACAATTATATATATAAAGTAGTGATCTCTGTTTGACTGCTTGGGTTTCCGATCATAACTCAAGAACCCCTTGACCGAGTGGCCTCAAATTTTTATTTAGGAGCTCATTAGAACCACAAAAATGTTCTATAGCGTGGTTTTAAATTCTTAATTGACTGGGGTTGACTTTTATTCGGAACACTTCAGGCAAAGCTGGGTTCCCTAAAAAATAGATTACATATCACCTTTGCATTTAGTTTTACTTAACTAACTCACACTTTGTAGCCTTAGACAATATAATACAATATTAGTCAAGAAAAACGCGCTTCTTGTGTAAAAGGAATAATATCGGCAAAATGTTGATGGATTTTTGCGTAAAAAAATGTTGGGCAACTGTACTTGGCCACAGAAATTTTAATTTCAATTGTCAACAAATCTTTAGTTAATTGTTACCATGCATGTGCCAAAAAAAAGTTTCGACGTTTCGACGTTTTAAATCTAGAATTGAATATTATACCTCACACCAAGATAACGTGAGATGAAGTTGAATTTATAATCTCTAATTATTCATAATTTAATGTCTGATGAACTAATTCAACTTTTCATCTAATCATGTATTTGGTGACAAAGATGACTTATTAAGTGAAATTGTTCATTTCACTATTTTAAACCATGCATAATCAGACGTACTTCTGATTGGTCAATTTTAAAGGTCCTACTATTATGGTTCCAGGTTTAGTTCTTATCTATTGTCTTTTGTTTAATTATCTGCAATTGTTTATAGTTTGTCTAACTTTTGTCATTTGTCTAATTTCTCCGATTGTCGTTAGTTTGTCTAATTTTCTGACATTTTCTATAGTTTGTCTAATGTTTGCCATTGTCTATATTTTGTCTAATTTTCTGGAATTTTCTATAGTTTGTCCAATTTCTGCAATTTTCTGTAGTTTGTCTAATTTCTGCCCTTTTCAATAGTTTATCTAATTTCTGCTATTGCATATAGTTTGTCTAATTTCTGCTATTGTCTATAGTTTGTCTAATTTTCTGCTATTGTCTATAGTTTGTCTAATTTCTGCTATTGTCTATAGTTTGTCTAATTTCAGCTATTGTCTATAGTTTGTCTAATTTCTGCATATCCTCTACTTGTCTAAACCTATAAAGTTCAATGAACAGTCTGAAGGGATGATTGAAAGTATGTATATTGTATGTAAGGGTACCTTAATGAATTTTACTAAAAGCTTTCAATGTATTTTCAAAGTATAAAATTTCCATAGAAAAAGGAATATTTCATTATTCTAATTTCATATTTCACAAAGGAAACCTACCAACATTCTCATAATCTTAAAATTTCAACTTTTTTATCAATTTATTTTTTTTCGTTACATCAGACAACTACTTTGATTTGTCAGGCAAGTGCTTTGAAGTCCTGTAAATAATAATATTCGCAAAACAAATTCAGAAAAAATAAATATTTTGGATTTTATTTAGTTATATGCCTTGTTGTAAACTAGTGAATAGTGATATCTAACAATTCCGCTGTATCATCTATCTGCTTCCATTATGCTTTATCAGCTCTTTCCTCAATTTCTATTGTATCTAGCCTGTTAAATTTCATATTTAAAGAATTCGAATTTGTTTTCAAAATTCAAAAACGATTTATTACTGTTTCAATGGGAAAAAATGTATTTATGGATTATCCTTTTAAATGTAGACAAAGTGTTATTTTTCATATCCAAGTACAGATGTACAGATGTACAGATGTACAGATGTACAGATGTACAGATGTACAGATGTACAGATGTACAGATGTACAGATGTACAGATGTGGTATTTCAGAAGTAATTATTAGATTCATTAAAACTAGCGATTTTTTAAGGAAGATTTTAAGAAAAGATTATTGATTTTACAGAACGTAATGAAGTCTAGGAGCTTGGGGGGGGGGGGTCCTGGGACCCCCTCCCTGACGTCTTTTTGGATATATTGGTCTGAGGCTATTCAAATGTTTTGACTTTTCTAACCAATGCAGGCCCCTCACTTTAGGCTCAACGCGGGGCTTTAATACCTCAGGCATACTTACTGCCTGAATGCCTTATTTTACCTTTACCCGACTCAATCTATATTGGATTTTGACTTTCTATATCTCTTTGGAAAGTCTTGAACAAAAGGAAGCAGATTGCACAATTTTTGCGAAGAAATTTTGCAAAGATGCCTTTAAAAAGAATTAACACATTTTTAGTTTTCCATTAATAAAAATTTAGTTTACGAAAATTTTGCAAATATTTTTGCATATTTGAATTTTCCGTAGTAAGGGCTTTCCAAAAATATATGATTAAGCATATTTCGCGCACTTTTTGTTTTTGCACATTTTTTGCTTGATAACTTGCAATAAATATTTGAAAATTTGAAATTTTTTTTGCTAATTATTAATGTAGAGCCTAAGGGCTTTTTTTGTATCACAATAAGGAAATTTAAGACTATTTTGGGTAAACCAGACGTCAGCCTGAATAGGGTTAACATTATATTGTGACGTAATAGGAAAACCAAGGAACTAGTTTTATTGTAAACAATAACAACAACAAGGCTCGATATTATTCAGCAGAAAAAGAGATGCAAGCAGAATATAGTTACTGTTTACTACACATGTTTGTTTTCATTAATTACTAGAGCAATCCCAATTCGTCACAATAGAATGTAAACATTGTAATTACCAAAACAAATCAGAGTAAAAGTCGTCTTCTTAATATTTTACTGCGAAATAAAGCAGATTTACAATTTGTCCTGATTTTTCCAGATATTTTTTGGAAAATGTTCAAAGCTCATATTTAGAGATTTAACAGTTACTTCAAAACTTTAAAGCTGTTTGCGTCGTTTCTTATTGGAAACATTATTAATGACTAGCTGAAGTGCCCGGCGTTGCCCAATCAATTAAAATTTTTTTCAATTATTTTAGCCTTTGTCATCCCCGGGGTACCCATTTGTTCTTTAAAAAAAATGTCAGCCAATCAAAGCAAACCTATAAATTAGCAAAGAGCTTTATTATATAGATGACGACATATATTCCGTTTTATTTTGGTTATATTTGTATATTGTATATATTTCTAAACTGTAGGTTTATGTTCCTTGTACACTGATTGTTATACTGAGCTGGGTTGGATTCTGGTTGAATAGAGAAGCTACCTCTGACCGTGTAGGACTAGGTACAGGGTGTCCCACATCATATTGCCTCGTCTATATCAAACGATTTGATTAAATCATTTAAAATTTGTATATATAAGGCTAAATGAAAAAAATTGTCATGCAGAAAATACTAGTTTTTTCGAGAATTATGTGCGTATTTTGGTTTTAATCATTTAAAAAAATTGTATAAGGTTAAATAACCCAACATGATATGGGACGTTTTGAATATTATATAAGTCTCACTCGGAGATATTTAAAATCAAGGTCTTTAAAGAAACTGGAGAGTAGATTGATACATACGCATATTCTGAGTATTGATTTTTAGTGCTTTAAAAAGGGCCAAAGTTAAGTTAGGGCCGAAAAAATGTGTATTCTATACTCATGATTTCAAAGTATTGAAAAAAAATTATGGAAGGAGACAACTGTCATGTTTTATGGAAACTCTGTATTCACTAAATCTTGTCTAGGTTTACACTAGATATTTTCTAGGTTCACACTAGATATTGTCTAGGTATTCACTAGATCTTATCTAGGTATACACTAGATCTTGAATAGGTATTCACTAGATCTTGTCTAGGTTTACACTAGATATTTTCTAGGTTCACACTAGATATTGTCTAGGTTCACACTAGGTATTATCTAGGTATACACTAGATCTTGTCTAGGTATAACGGCTGTCCTAACTCTATCAACGATAGCTCTAGACAGTAGAACAGATCTACCAAAGGTAAATTTTTTAAAACACAACGATGTTTGGACATTTATCTAGATATTTGGAAATTTATCTAGATATTTGGACATTTATGATCTAGATATTTGGACATTTATCTAGATATTTGGACATTTATCTAGATATTTGGTTATTTATCTAGATGTTTAAACATTTATCTAGATATTTGAACATTTATCAATATATTTGGACATTTATGATCTGTATATTTGGACATTAATCTAGTTAAATATACTACTGTAACCTCATTTATCTAGGTTCATTATGCTACTGCACTGGACTGGTTTATTATCTGTAGTTTTGGATACTGTATTCTCGTATATCTAGGTCCACTATGCTACTGCTCTGGACTGGTTTATTATCTGTAGTTTTGGATACTGTATACTCGTATATCTAGGTCCACTATGCTACTGCTCTGGACTGGTTTATTATCTGTAGTTTTGGATACTGTATACTCGTATATCTAGGTCCACTATGCTACTGCTCTGGACTGGTTTATTATCTGTAGTTTTGGATACTGTATGGCAACACTATTGGAGTTTGCAGGGGTTCACTATTTTACAAAGGTACTTTCAAATATAATTTTTGAAGAATTTGCGTTTGTATTAAATTTACTTTGGAAAAGTCTGTCCTTGAAAAGCAAACAAAGCAAAATATATGGTTCTGTCTTATTTTATATCAAAAATCAGTAGTAAGGAAGTTAATTATCAACAATAGTTTTTAATTAACAAAATTCAAGGGACTGTCGGCCTGATTTCATGTGACTCACCATTTAAAGAGGGACATTTCCGGTTTAAAACGTTTCTGATTGTTATATTTTGACAGTTTCCTCTTTTATTTCTTCAACAGAAATTCGTAAGTCACGTCAGAGAAACCACGGTTTAAAATAATTAATTTTCAAATTTTAAATCATTTATATCTAATTTATTCTTGTTTATACAACTTTCAATGGTACCATTGTAAATCTGACATGTTACTTTATAAATGGTGTGTTACTTAAAATAACGTCTACAGTTCCTTAAAATATGATGTGTTACTTAAAATAACGTCTACAGTTCCTTTGAATATGGTGTGTCACTTAAAATAACGTCTACAGTTCCTTTAAATATGGCGTGTCACTTAAAATAACGTCTACAGTTCCTTTAAATATGGTGTGTCACTTAAAATAACGTCTACAGTTCCTTTAAATATGGTGTGCCACTTAAAATAACGTCTACAGTTCCTATCAATATAGTGTGTCACTTAAAATAACGTCTACAGTTCCTTTAAATATGGTGTGCCACTTAAAATAACGTCTACAGTTCCTTTAAATATGGTGTGTCACTTAAAATAACGTCTACGCAGTTCCTTTAAATAGTGATAAATAGGCTGACTATCAGGTACTGTTGAGTACCCCTGTTGAGTTTCTAAGATGTTTTTATAGAATTATATAATGTCAGACACGTGTCCCAGTAGGGTTTAGCAGATCAGAGAAAGGAAAGGGGATTAGAGTCAGAAAAAGAAAATTAAACTTCATCAAATTTTAATGTTATATCCAGTAAAAATGTTTAAGGACCAATTTTGGTTTTTCAAGTTTAAAGGGGCTGTAATCCTAATTTGAAGTGACCCTCCAAGCAAAGGGGTAATGCCCGATTTACAACGGACGGTGCCCTATAAACCTTTGTATGTTCGTCGAGTATAGAGATATGTGTGTGTAAACTTATCGAACACCGCTTGTGTTCAGCTGGAAATTTCAGCGTGCGCTGCGTAGTCTGAACTCAACACAGCGCAAGCAAAGAAAGAAAGAAGACATCCAGACTATACTTAAAAACTTCTATGACAAAGGAATAGTCAGGTGACAGGATGGCCTGACTCAATTTCGTCTTCTCTATCTAGCTACTCTCTACATTATAAAAAGAGTTTTTAAAATCATTGAAGCATATTTCTTATCTGAATTGTCTAGATTGGAAGTGGTGAGGTTTTCTCCCTTCACGACAGGATGCTGGAGGACCAGGAGGAGGAGGAGGCGGAGGCCGAGGAGAGGGAGAGAGAGCGGGAGGAGGAGAGGGATGAGAAGATGATTAATGTTAACAAGATGGAGCAGGAGCAGGTCCTTGACTTCGTATACTACTAACATTAGAGCAAGTAAATTCAAATAAAAATGCAAATATAAATGCAGAAAAAAAAAACTGTCATATAAACAAAATGAAATTTAACCGAGGAGATTTCTCCGGAGGTAAACAATCGTTGTATAAACCAAATTATTAATTCTCTTCTAGTTGTTGCAAATGCAAACATTGCTTTATGTTTTAGGATAAAATACTAATATTGTTTTGAAAACCGTGACATTATTGTAAACATAAAACATTAATGTTTTCTCTAATTAGATTTTAAATAATGTTTCCAGGAGATTTCTCTGATAGAACCAACGATGGATTCTTTTAACCGAGTCTACGGTCTTTTTACTAATAATATGGAATATGAAGAGGTAAAACGTTCATTAATCTCTAAAGGGAATTTGTTGACATAATTTTAAGTGAGCAGAACTAATTAAAATATTTTTTTTTTGCCACTAGTCATTTTTTCGATAATTTTCAATGATTGTATCTGTAATCTGTATACAGGTGAATTTCGGATGTATGATAAAAACGTGAACAGAGCTGAAAACATTAGAATGGTGGATATCGAGATTAATGCTTGATGTCCTTTTCTTCTTAATCTCCAGATTAAATATTCCTTATTCTCCTCTTGTTATTAATCTCCAGATTAATTAACCGATCGGGACTAAGGATATTTAATTCTAAAGTTTTCAGCTCAGGGCATGCAACTTTTAAAATGAAGAGTCACTTGGAATTACACCAACTGTCCCTTTAAAATGAATAAAAAGTAAACAATTTATTTAGGATATTAACCAAACGAGCAGGTTTTGTCACGTACATAATGTTAGTGTGTACAACCAGGTAAATAAATATAAAGATTGTACTGCAAAAATGTTGTTGTGCAAATACTAAACAGTCAAAGTTTAAAATATGTAAAATATCAGGTTGTAAAGATAAAGGGATTATAGAAATGAGATTCCTTTACTCATCAATAAAAGTACATATTTATTACATCGTATATTGTACTTATCCATATCAAAGATCGGTTTTATGTGTGAATGGCTGATTATAATTCATGAACTCCTTGACCGATTTGCCTCAAATTCTAAGTTGATTGAATTGAATTTTTCGGAGAAAATTGAATTTCCGGGAAAAGCTGTGTTTCCATGCTCATTATATCAAGGAAATTGAGAACTTACCCCCCCCCCCCTCCCCTCACTTCCCTTGATTTTATCTTATAGTATAAATCCTTGAAAATATTTCCAGATGCAACACATTGGATCCAATGGTCGGAAACCAGGAACCGGAAGTGATTATTCTCAATCCTCGTTCTCCATGTTGGATTCAGGTATTCAATGCTGATTTACAATTTTATGTTTTAGTTCAACCATTCAAGATTTGCCTTTTCAACATATATATATATCTATGCTTTTCAACTTATTTTTATTCTCTATTTTCGGAGTAAAATATCACAAATATATTCTAAAATCATGAAGATATGCGCTAAGAAAGTTTTTTTTGAATATTTTATTTTGGAATTTATAAACATTTTTATAGAGCAGCATTTGTATAAAACAGAACGTATGTTAGAGAGAAATCAGAAGGGGCTTAAAAATGAATTATTAGACAAACATTCCAGACATGACAGGAGCTATCGATTTTTATCATGGGGAACTAAAATCTTTTGACATGCTTTAAAAAGTGAAAGAATTGCGAATCCAAAGATCTGGGTTTAAAAACCTTATGAAAACTAAAATCTAAGGGTTTAATTTACTTCCATCACCCATAATCTGAAAAGTTTTTAAAGTATTTTTCAACAATAAATATTGTAGGTAGCTTGAGATCGTACAAAAGACCTGTATCGACACAAACTGAGCCTAAACCTAGCTTCCTGGCTCAACTTTGGCTTTGTATTTTATCAAACCAGGTAAAATGAAGAAGTAAAAAATAATAAAGAGCGAGTGGTCAGATCTAAAGAAAACGCTCAGTATTTAATGCCTTTTCAATTTGTTAACGTATTTTAGCCCTCCCCCCCCCTCTCTTTCACTCCTTTCATCCAAGATTTTTATCAGTTCTTATGTTCAGTTTATTAAATTGCAAAATTGACATCTCTGACATATATCACAGAATTGGTTCTTTATAAGAATGTGTTGACACATACACTTTATATATCTTCCTTCAGAAAGAATTATGATTATTTTTTTTGAAAATCATTCTGCAATCAAGTAAAAAATGAGTTTCGAAATCATGTCAAATTTGTCTTTACATATAGGGTTACCCACTAAAAATCATTAAATAATGTAAGCTTAAAATTGAATTTGTCCTAATGTGTCTTTTATTTGTATATCTAATTAATTGTCATAGAAAAAATCACGTTAACAATATTCAGGAGTTCAGGAAAAAAAGAGAGAAGGAAGCAAGGAAAAGAGGAGCATCAGTAAACTCAGTTTCAAGGTAGTACTGTGTAATATATGATCAATGTATGATCTATGTATAACCTGGGGGGGGGGGGCGTTTGGTGCCCCCTCCTTAGAAAAAGGCCTTAGAGAATAGGTATAGGGTTGAAATGCATGTTCATAGCCCAATTTTTCATGGCCAGCTCAAAGAAAAAAAATCATACCGATAACTTTAATAGGTATGGTTGCTAGGGAGGGTGGAAAAAAATGCCTGTACTCTACCCTGTAAATTAAAAAGAATATTCTTTAACAAAATATCCTTTAAATTACTATTCATTAAAAGTTTAAAGTGCCAGGACAAAAAAAAATAACTAAAGAGGGGCGCCAACCGCCCCCCCCTAGCCTGTTTAGGGTTAAAAAAAGGAATTAAAGTAATGAAAAGAAAGTAAAGAAAGGAAAGAATGAAAGGAATGCAACCCTGTATATTCATCAGAGTTTATGTCTGTCCTGATTGAAAAGAATATAAAACACAATAAACTTGAAGAAACTCTTTTCAGGTCCAACTTTTCCCCAGCATATTAAACTGTATATTTATATACAACATTGAGAAATCATTTCGTTTTTTTAAAACAGAAAATAATTCGGATAAGAAAAGTATTCTAATTAGAAAAGAAAAGAAGAGTGTTTTAAAATAATGTTATCATTAACGTTATTTTACTAATTTAGAATTGACATCGTATCAAGGGCTCTCTTCCCATTCAGGTGAAATATTATATTTTTTTTAGAAAATTGATTGAGGGAAATTATACAAAAAGAAGCTTCAAATTCTCAATTTTAGATGATACAATGGCCACGTCATCTATAAGTATTTTTTATTAGACTAAAAAATAATTAAAGCAATAAACGTTTTTTGGTCCTCGTTGGATTCCAGATTCTTCTGATGTTCATAGAATTCAAAATGGCGTTGCTTATTGTTGTTATCTGACTTCAAATATAAAATTAACAATATTATTTAGTTTTCTCTGTTTTAATATTCTCTACTGGATCAGCTACTTCCAGGGACAAATACATTTTGATTGGAAGCATCATGATCTATAAGGTCGGTCAGATACAGGCTGCTTTATATCATATCAATATCATGATCTATAAGGTCGGTCAGATACAGGCTGCCATATATCATATTAATATCATTATCTATAAGGTCGGTCAGATACAGGCTGCTTTATATCATATTAATATCATGATCTATAAGGTCGGTCAGATACAAGGTGCTTTATATCATATTAATATCATGATCTATAAGGTCGGTCAAATACACGGTGCTTTATATCATATTAATTCATCTCTAAACTTCAACGTCAAAAAATAACTGTATATCTTGAAGAACTATATGTTTCTAATGTTTCATTAGCCTTATGTATTTTGTTTATATCCTTTAATAATTAAAAGGAGTTGAGTCTTTGCCACAAAGACAAATTTTCGAATCCTAATATCTTTGCATCTAGATGGTTGAAACCTTTAATATTTCAAACTCAGATTATTTGATCAACCAGAATTCATAGTTTGAAATATCAAAGGTCTACGAAATTGGGTTGCAAAGATACAGGTTTTAGAAAATCAGAGTTTGTGGCAAAGACTCAACTCCTTTCCTGTTATTTTATATTCTAGAGCTATATACGATCCAATATGCTATGTGACACCCATGTTCACATTGATTTAATACATAATTTGAACACAAAAACCGAATATTTTCATACTGTCTGAAGAACTGATTGTGAATAAGTTTATAAATAATATATATTATAAATAGAACTCATTAATTTATCTTTAGTCCAATCTCTGGTTCATATACTTGACAAACATTTTTAAATTTCAAGTCAATATGAAGATTCAAGAATAAATCACTTTGAAAAGAAAATATTTTGCGATATGGTGTGAATGTGACCATGGGTGAAGATATTATAGGATTTTATCATTCTATTTATAGATCTAGAGGAAGTATTTTTTTTTAAAAATACGTTTATTGTTTTAGGAAACCATGGATTAAAAAGTGTTGCAAACTGTGGATTATGAAAAGAAATTTTGATTCATCAGTTTATATTTCTTCAAGTGTCATTAAAGAAAAATCTGTTAAATATAAAAATTGTAACTTGTTAAAAATAACAAGATTGTAAAATTAATTTACAATTTCTGATCTATTAAAAATGTATCTAAGTAACGTGATGTTATAAAATAATTCTGTATAATTCATCAATTGTTTAAACTTGGAATATTAACTTCCCCAAACAAGAAATGTAAAATGAATATTTCTCTATTTTGTTTCGAAAGAAATGGAGTATTTGCCACAAACTCTGATTTTCTAATCCTAATATTTTTTTAACCCAATGTGGTAGACCTAAGATATTTCAAACTATTAATTCTTTAAGATTAAATAATCTAAGTTTGAAATATCAGAGCTTTTGTCAGGTTTAGAAGACAAAGAAATTCGAAAATTTGAGTTTGGGGCAAAGACTCAATTTCTTCATGGTTTTATGTACCTAATATATTTTAATATAGATACATAACTAGCTTGACATTTTTTATTTTAAGAAGTATATTTTTAATAAATATTAGATTATAAATACATTTCTCTTAAGGTTTCTAGATTATAAATACTGTTCTATGGTTCCTATGAGTTGCTGGAGCTGCAGCTGCAGTGTAGGATAATCTAGCAGATAGAGCATCATTATTGGACTCATGCTTCAGTCTGAAATTTGTTTTAATATAAACATTATTTATATTTAGACTGAAAGCCTTTTTAGAGTTTTACTCAAATACACAATCTATTTATTTTTATTAGACAAATTCCAACAACAAGCTGACAAGTGGTCTGTTTATGAAGTTTAAATGCAAGATAATGCATATTTAGGCAAAAACAATCTCAAGCATCAGTATACTATGAATAATATGCTTTTGAACAATCTACAGAACAGAATATTGTTGGAGTACTGGTGACTGGCAATCTAAAACCGTCTAAACACTGTGCCCAGGTTGCTCAGAAGGCCAACCAAGTCTTAGGTCAAATGACAAGAGCCTTCCATTTCAGAGATCGTTTCACCCTCTTTATCAGACTCGAAGTCATCTTGAGTTTGCATCCTGTGTTTGGAATCCATGGACTAAATCAGATTGTGATGTTTTAGAAAGAGTTCAAATGAGAACAGTCTCCTTTTTATCTGGATTGAAGGGATCAACCTATGAAGAGAAACTCAAGGACTCAATGAATTTGACAATGTCGACAAGAATACCTGGTTTAAAGGAATTGAGTTTTTGCCAGAAGCTCAAATTTTCTAATCCCTCTATCTTTGCAACTTGACGGCGTAAACCTTATATATTTAAACTTAGACTATTTAATTTAACAGAACTTAAAGTTCGAAATATCAGAGGTCTACAACATCAGGTTGCAAAGATATAGAGATTATAAAATCAGAGTTAGTGGCAGAAACTCAATTACCTTGTTGGAGAGAGAGAGAGAGCAAGTCACAAGATTAAATCAAGATTGTTTCTCACACAGAGTTATCCACTTATGGAATTCTTAAACCCATGATGTTAAGCATGGAAGAAATCCACTACAGTTTAAACAACTGCATAGATTAGAATCATTAAAAATGGAGGGGCTGCTAATATGAGAAAACCTGAAGCTACATCTGATTAATAGCAGACCACACAAGATGAACCCAAGAATGATATTCTCAACATTGCTAGATGGAAGATGGAGAATTACCTCTCTTGTAAGTATCATGAATCTAAATCATTTTAAACTCATGAGCGATCCCTTCAACATGGGCCGGAGGATCGAAGTACAATATACGATCATATATCCTTTTATATATTTATATATCCTTAATTACAATGGATTTCAAGATGAGTAATAAACAGTTGATTGCACGGTTTAGACGACAGGTTAATTCTAATACAAAGGAATAATTATTATTAGAGTGAGAGTAGAGTTCTACCTTTTCCGTTTACAGTCTCCATAGAATATAACACCAAAGCTTAATATTGCCAATATATTTAAAACAAGAGTCAAAATCCTAAAAAGGAAATTATCAACAGACAACATAATATGCATTAAATGTATCTTGAATTACAGGGCCCCTGTTTTCTTATTTTTTAATTAGTCTATATTTCTATTGAATAGTTTTAAATTTCTGCGATTTCTTGGTTTAGATTAGTGAATTTTTAACAAATTTTCAAAGCAGTATATTTTCTGGTTGATAAAAAACCACCCCCAGGTTTTATGAGTTTCTACAATTTTTAAATAAAAAACTGGAGCCGAAAATGTTTTTTTTACATGCAATATCCGCTGAATTCTTGAAATTGTAAATTCATTTTCAAAAAACAAATATATTTAATATATTTACTGAATAATAAGTACTTACAAAGATGAGAACTGCATCTTATTGAGGTCAATGATCTGTGCATATGTAAATCTTGGTAAAATATGGGATCCTCCGAACACAGTTAATGCGTAGATAACATATGCAGCCTAGAATATACTTGAAATTAGAGAGCTAGATTTTTATGGTAAATCATCTAAACATCTGCATTGAAATGGAACCATTCAATTATTTGATCTAGGTTTTTAACAAAAAATTTAAAATTAAAGGAGCTAATTACTCATATCATACTCTAATTGTGACAGGTTACTTAAATATAAGGATTTAAATATTTGAGGCGGGTAGTAAGTTCCTTTTTTGCTAATTATCTCAACTAATAGGTTTATTTTGACTTCTTAAAAAATGTTTATATAATTAGCATCTTAGGTCAAAACAGCAATATGAAAATCATTTTTATACAGATATCAAGACGTTTTCTATTTATATTATTTTCAATAAATTAAAATCCTGTATGTATAACGTAGACTCTGAATACAAAAAGCATAAATATTAGTAACATTTATTAAATAGTAAGTTATTTTTTTTCAAAAATTTAAAAAGATTTGATCATTTGAAACTTAAGGATAAACTTTTAAAATGTTGAAACATATTAAATAAGTTGAGTAGAATTGAATAAAACTATATATAGTCATTGTACATAGTATCATATACAGTGAGAAAAGGTTTTTGTCGGAATTTATGTTCGGCGTGAAAAAAAACTTTCATTTTGACCCAAAACAAACTGGAAAAAGTAAAAATATCTGGCAAATTTTTTCGCACTTAAAGTTACCCATTTCAATTACATAAAGAGATATTAATACTAGAAATTATATAAACTTTTAAATATATTTCCGGGCATAAATGTTTTAAAGTTTAAAATTATTAAGTAATACAAAATAATATTATGTTATAAAAGTAATTATAGCAGTAACAATTTTCTTTCGCACAGACAGCAACATTATGATGAAATCTTTTATTAGTGAAGTTTGTTTATTTGCAGTAAAATAAAATACTTTCTTTCTAACTTTGTCCATAACCATAATGTTGCACAACATTACACAATATTTTCAAAAATTTATTTAAGCAAATTTAAACTACACCATTTATATTTGTATTAATATCTTTGTGTGTGAATAAATCTTTATAATATAATATAATAATATATATTTAATAGATTTCGACAATAAAATAAAATAATTAAAAGTAAATTGAGAAAATAAGCTTACTACCAATTTGATATGTTTCTTGTTCACAATTGATGCATAAACTTTAAGAAAACATTGTTTAGATATACTTACTGAAACCAAAGATGAAGCCATGACTGGAATGTAAAGCCAGATAATCTTGGACAGTAAACCAGCGATAGAAAGACAACCGATAAAAATTGGAACCACTAAAAAATTATTTTAATTGAATCAATCCGTTTTTTTTATATTGCTTTTTGCTCCCACGTATAAATAAAAACAACAAAATACACCCATTGTATCGGCATATTTTATATCATACTTAGATCTCTACTTCAAAATCAGGAAAAAATGTTGCAATTGTCAACGAATTTATATAGTTTAAATTTAAATAACAAATAAAGAGAAAATACAAAAAATCTGTAATTAACGGGTGAAAATGAGTTTCAAAGTTAAAGTTTAAAAAGTCAAAGTTTAAAATTTCAAAGGTTTCCATTTGATTCCAAAGATACAGAGATAAAAAAGATTTAAACTTTAGGAAGATTTTTTTCAGTTATTTTCCCTACAAAATTAGTCTTTTCTGCAAAAATTTTTATCTCTATAAAAATACCAAAATCCATACTAAATAATTTATCAAAAATTCTTTGTTCAATGTTCATGTCACGTACATCTATTCACATTACATAGCTTCTTGGTTTCTTTCATAGATTAGTTGCATAAGACTATGTCCTTTTTTCTAAGCGTTTTTCAGAGTTTTTAGACTATTTAGTGGCTGCACAAAAATCTGAGAAGTGAAAACTATTTCAAAATGTCTTGCTAGGCAAGATTGTTTTTATTGCGTTTTGCAATATTTTAGTCTGACCAAAGATATTAACCTAAACGATTTTTCAAAACGATTAGAAAAAAAATGAAAAACTCGTTTTTTTCAGGTTAAAGTTTTTTCACCGAAGTATATAGGTTATAATGGCCAATAATGGCATCCTGTCCAGTTATATATCATGAAATTTGATACTATAAATAATTTGATAATTTTTGAGTTATGATAAAACTAGTATAAAATTACCTATAGAAACTATATCGTCCACTAACTTGTCATCATTCATACCACTTGTTGTGAAACTAACTAATGCCACTAGTCTAAAAATCAAATAATTTCAGAATAAGCTATGATTTAGATTGCTCTGAAGACAAGATATTGAAAAGTTATAAAAAATTGTTTATCGCATCAGGAGCACCTTAGGTCCCGGTCGTTTTTACATAAAAAAACTTAAACATTATTTACATATCTTACTATTTTTGCTTACCCTATGATGATATAAGCAATGGCAACAACAAAACCAAAAAATCTACAGGTACAGCACATTTTTCATTCCAGAAAACCCTAAATTGCAGATTTTGTTAATATATTACCCGCATTTTCTAAAAAATATTTTGTGCAAACTTCTTTCTTTGTTGTGGTTAATTTTACATATTAGCGTTTTCATAATTCAAATAATTGTTTTAATGTTATAAGGAGCGTACGTGCGATTTCTCTGCTAAATACAGAGTATAACCCACAAAGGATGAGTATGTAGGGACGACATGAAATTCTTAAAATATGATGATTATACAGTTAATGAAATCAGGTCTTCTGCCTTGAATATGTCGTTAAATAGCTTTATATTTTATGATCTGGAAAAGGAAACAAATGAAGTTTACAGTTGCAGGGAACCATGTTTATTGAATACAAGGAAACAGCTATGGTATACATTTCGTAAAGTCCTCCTCTGAATTCTTATCCTTAGTTGGATAACCCTGTGTGTGCGTAATTTTATCCGGAGGGGGGGGGGCATTCGACTCTCTCCCCCAGGTCCATGAGGGCGTACTGCAGGCTGTACTGTAACCTGTGTTCCCCCTAAACATGCTCTCTTAGCTAGGCCCCCCTGGGTCCAATATGCCTAATCTATTACAAACATACATATGTATTCTTTTCTTATCATTTGACTGTTCATTGATGAAAATTTCTCAAATTCTTTCCATTAAAAGCAGTGGGGAGAGACAATTTACAAGGTTGAGGAAAAGGGAGATGCAGAACTGGGGAAAGGGTGGTGGGCTTGGGAGCAGGGTTAGGGAGCAATGGGGTTGGGTTCGTTAAACACAGGGGGAGCAGGGTTGGATAGTTGATGCGGGGGTGTTAGCGGGTGGTAATTATGGTTGGATGACGAAAAGATATTTTGTAAGTTAAGAAAGGCAGCAGCCTGCCTTAACTTATACAAACTGTTGTTTTACCCTATAGCCATAGAGAATAGAATATATATTAGAGGGGAATTTAAAGAATTTCTCGGTATGAATTTTTTCAGTCCCTTTCAGCCTGAAAGGGAGTTCAAAGTGTACAAATCATGTAAATGTTCACAAATTATATGCAGTGGAGTACATTAATACAGTATGTTCACTGGACTATTCATTTCAATTTCGAATTTTTTAAACTATTAGATAAACTTTATAATAAATTTGGTGAATAAAAAACATTATTTGATTTATAGTTATAACGGAAAATCATCGTTTGTAAAGTGAAAGGCATAGAGTCTATGAGAAATGATCATTGGTCAATAATGAAACCAGCCTATTTCAATTTGGTTTTCTATTAACATTAATTTTAGATTTTCTATAAAATGATATTCCAGGGCCCAAAAGGTTATATAGCATAAATATGTAAAGTACACCTGCAGTATACTTTTTGCAAAAAAAAAACTTTTTTTAATGCATATAGTGGGGTGCAAGACGCGATGTAAAAGGCGGGGCTAAGTGTGAAAAAAATTTAAAACAGCACATTTACACACTATCCAAAGTTCCAAACCTTTTTTATTTAAGATGAAACTTGAATTAGAAATTCAATTAATTTTAATTTGGCCGCAAGATGTCTCTCAATGTACTTAAACTTTTTCCTTTCCAATTATATGCAGCTTTCTTCTATATCTGAGTGTACTGTTCAAATGTAAATAAACCTCTGCAAACATTAATGAGAGAGAAATTATGAATAAAGTTATGCTCTAAAAATAGGCCTTTTCCCACAAATATTACATTAGAGTAGATTTGATTCTTTGAAATTATTGTTTTGATGATGTTCTTGTAAAGTAAGTGTGAAAGGTGTGTAGGGAACTCAAGGTTATTACTTTTGGGCAGTTTGGGGGGAAGTTTTTTTTTGTAGATTTGAATTTTGAATTTCTAATAATTCAAGGTTTATCATAAACTAAACATTTTTTAATGATGATTTTTTCGTAAATTTGTTTTTGTACTTGTGGACCCCCTCGTTACTTGCTCATAGTTCTTACACATCTGATTCTGAATCTGATTCTGATACATATACACCTGTATGTTTTGCAAATGTTCAGTGTTAAATTCAAGTATAATTTATATTTGAATGTATTTGGGGAGGTGTTTGTTATTGGAATAATCATCTAGAAATAATGGTTTGAACTTTCGTTGCATCAGTTTTATTGGTGCTATGGAAACGCCTCAACACGGAAACGTCTCAACGCGGAAATGCCTCAAAAACCGGTTTTGAGGAATTTCCGTTTTTTTTTGGGAAATCCCTCAAAACTGGAAAATGTTGAGGGATTTCCGAATATTTTTGAGGCGTTTCCTAATATTTAAAGTTGAGGTGTTTCCTCTTTTTTTGAGGCGTTTCCGTTTTTTTTTTTGAAGCGTTTCCGTTTTTTGAAAAAACTTTTAAAACTTTATTTTGTTGAGGCGTTTCCTCTTTTTTTTGAGGCGTTTCCTCTTTTTTTTGAGGCGTTTCCGTTTTTTGAAAAAAGTTTTAAAACTTTATTTTGTTGAGGCGTTTCCTCTTTTTTTTGAGGCGTTTCCGTTTTTCAACATGAAATTAATATTAATTTGTTATTATGTCAGGGACGGTTAAGTTAGGGTAAAACAGTTTCTAGGGACGAGCGCTGCGGCTAGGACAGATTTTAAGGCCCAGCGCTACAAATAGGACAGACTTGGGGACCGAGCGCCGCGCCCAGGACAGACAAGGGGGCCAGGCGCTACGCGTCACAGTCGTTACAGTGTTTAACTACGTCCTTGTGTTACATGTAAGAATTATGTACAATTTGTAAGAGGAGGGGGGGGGGTTCCAAGAATTCCTTACTAGGAAATCACCATGTTATGTCATAGTGAATAAACTTATAAACGATTTTTGGACACTTTATCTTTCTCTTTTATAAGTATCAATTCATAATTAATTGATTGAAAAATATTATTTCAGATTTGTTCATTAAAAGATGATACAATAAGATTTTAGTTTATATAAAAATAGAGGAAAATTGAATAAGAAAAAATGGAGGATATATTCCACTGGATCAGGTATAGATTACATAAAATATAATTTGAAAATAACAATAATGATAAAATTAATCGATTATATTCCTCATTTTAAAGTAGTTCTATTAATTTTAGGTTTATACCATTTTACCAAATATTAAAGACTTTAGTTTTTACCTATATAGAAGATCTTTAGGTTTATTTTAAAGTCTGCGGGGTGTAAATTTTTCAATAATTGCACCCCCCTTCACACGAAGCTTTGAGGCAGTGTTTCGGATCCGGATCCGGTCGGATCCGTATCATTTGGTCGGATCCGAATCCGTATCAGGAAACGTTGATATGGATCCGGGTAGCGCCAAAAATTAACCAAAACCATGGAATAAATAAATCAAAATGGTTCGTAAATGTATTATTTACATGACGAAAATTTTTCAAAATTATCTTTAATAATTTAATGTTTACATTTCCAAAAAGTCCATATTTTTTTTGTTACATTTCGGAATATATATTAAGTATAGTTTATAAATTATAACCTTGCATAACATTTAATAGGGAAAATCCGATTCACAGAATCAAAAGTTACCTCGGATCCGGATCCGTATCAGAGTCAGGATCCGGATCCATCATCACGGATGCGGATCCGCGGATCCGGATCCGCATCAAAATGATACGGATCCGAAACACTGCTTTGAGGAATACAGAAAAATGGGATTGAAATTTGCAATTTTATTCTTATTTATTTTGACGGAGACAAAAAGAAATATGCAAGGCAATAAACCATAATGATGAAAAAATAAAATATAAATAAAGGGAAAATGATTGAATGTTTGGGGTGAAAGATATTCGTAAATATTGACCTAATTATTATCTGCATATTTGTGTGATATACAGGGTTACTCACAAAGGATGCGACTTCAAAACGATTAGTTTTTACCAAATTTATTCAGTTTTATTGCTTTCAGGGTTTCCTGTAAGGCTGTAGTTGTAAAATTGTTTCTTTGTTTGCCAGATTATTTAATTAACCTCAGAAAGACTTTTTTTTAAGACAGAAGACTAAATTCAACCTTCATATCGTCACATTAAACGAGCTTTAGGCTGTCATTAAAGTCTCATCCTTTCTGGGTAACCCTGTATAGGAATATCCTGACAATAAACAGAAATTCTCTTACTTATACAGGGTGTCCCAAAAAACATGGGAATTCAGTGACGAATTCGATATCGTCTTTCTTAATAAAACAAGAAAATTACAGTATACAAACAGAGTAAACTTGTCCGTATTCACTGTTCATCTTGCGGAGACATTATAGACACATCTTTGCAGTCGTTTACCCTTTTCATAAAATAAACTCTAGCAGACATAATAATATTATGGCTTTTGAAATTAGGTATTACAATGCTAATTCATAACAAAGACGATATCGAATTCGTCACTGAATTCCCATGTTTTTTGGGACACCCTGTACTAATATTACTTCACAAAAAAATTCCGACCTCTCTTAAGTGAGTTAAGTCTTTGGTTTGTCAAAATTAATTTACAATTTTTTGTTGTTGCAGGGAGGGGAACACGATGCAGGTCCGGATGTGGTTGGATGATACAGAACATGATATGAATCAAGGGTAAGTATTTTAAGATCGTTTATCATAATAATGATAAAAACAATAACTACAGTCAACCACAATTTGAATTAAACAATGATGGTCTGGCATTGCAAATGGATTGTAATTGTAAAGGTATTTGCCCCCCCCCCCCTCAATTCAGATAAAGAGGTCGATTACATTTGATAATATTTACCTTTTTTAATTATATGCAAAAATTTATATACATTTTTTATGATTAAATTATATTTTGTTGAAAATATTACTAATTGATTTTAGTGATGACCATCAGTTCTCACCTCTACACTGGGCGGCTAAAGGAGGACATATTAAAATTGTTGAAATTTTAATAGGTTTGTTATTTTATCAAGAGTTTTATAATCAATTCTTTGTTTCTGATTTATTAATCTCTTCATTTAATTTAAATGTTGTTTTCTTTGTCGCAGTTTTTGTTATAAAAAATGATTTAAAATTCGGTGATGGTGATGGACCAAACCTCTGTAGAGTAAAAAAGTAGATGTTAGCTCCACATTTATTAAAAATATATTTCGGTCTGGGTTGACCCTCGTCAGTTCTAACGATATAATAACCATCAAAATCGGTAAAAAAAAAATTAAAAAAATTTTGTTAAAAATCACAAGAAAATAAATAAACAAAAAAGATTATTCAAAATAAAAATTTGGGCTGTCAAATGGACATAAGGGAAACGAACTCAGATTATGAGATGGAAAAAAAGATAATCTGCAAATATTCACTTTAAATAAAAAATGTTTTAAGACAATTATTATTCCTTGAGATTGTTTCTGTCACAAAGGTTAAAAACAAACTGTTTATATGTATGTGTATAAAGCGGTTGTGGGGGTCGAACTATATAACGAACTTTTCCGTTAATCGGGGGAGAGGATTTTTTGAAGTTTATTTTTCGGTCATGTCTCTACTTCATTTTTTTGACAATTTACTAAACATTCAGATCATTAATCCATTGTAGAATTTCTGGAATATTTTCCAGATGCATTAAGATAAAAATAAAGTTCTTCCATCTGTTCCCAACAGTTTCAAATATTGCCACAAGAATTCCACTTTCGACATTCAACAGTTTCCCTTATAATATAAAGGGACTGTAAGCCTAATTTCAAGTGAGCTTCCATATAAAGATGAGAATCCCCGATTCACAACAAAACCCTTTAAACCTTCGACTGATTTCAGACATTTTCACATATATCTGTTTTCACTTTGTTTGCAAGCTGTTATATGATTTAGAAATATCAATCGTCCCTTTCTAAAAGTAGCAAAAAATAAAAATTTACTTTTGAAACGTAGAACAGTAGATCTGCTTTCGAGTTACTACGCAAGTAACAGATCAGTTGTTAAAGGTCCGCGCACAGTCGCGCTTTAAGGAAATTCAAGTGGGTTTCGATATGTTTTAACAGAAAGTTATTTCTACTCAATTAACAGTAAAAGGTTTCAAGGGTACCGTTGAGAATCGGGAATTGCCTTCTTTACATGCAGGGTCACTTTAAATTATCCTTACAGTCCCTTTTAGCATACTCAGGAAACTTGTTATACTGATGAATAGGGTTAAGGTGGTTTTATTTTTATAATTAAAAATTCAATATTTGACCAATATACAAATACACAGTACACACAGAACAGCGTTAAATTATAATGGCACCGATACAAAGTTGTTTTTTTTTCGCCAGAGACCTTGCTCCCTCCTCCACCCCCCCGCCCCCCCTACTGTCCGCACAAACTTCCTTTTTAAAAAAATTTACATATAATAAAGAGTTTTTAAAAGTGATATATTTAGGCGGTTTTTTTTAACTTTTGTTATGATAGGACGAGGTGCACGTGTGAATACAACGAATATGGGAGATGATACACCTTTACATCTAGCTGCAGCTCATGGCCATATGGAAGTCGTGCAAATTGTAAGTTCTTTAACAGTTTTTATATATTTGGCTTATTTGTTTGTCATGGGTATCCTGATGGTTTGTATCCAATAAACGTTAAAAGTAACTCCAGTGGTTAGGATCCATTTAATTTTGATGCGGATCCGGATCCTGGATCCGCACTGGAAAAAAATGGATCCGGATCCGGATCTAGGTCATTTCTATAAGATTTACTGAATCTTTTTAACAAAAAATAATTTTCAAATTTTTTGTTTTATTTTTTTCGCATATTTTTATCTTTAAACTTGATGAACCATTCAGAAATAAGGAAATTTTTATAATCTCTCTTTTTTTCAAAAGTTCAGATTCTAGTTTTAGGAGTAAAAAACGTTTTTTTTTTGCAGTTTTTGGTTGATATTTTACCCCTTGGATCCGGATCCTAAGCAACGGTTTAACTGGTTGGGCCCAACATTTTTGTGATATCTCACATGAACGACATGAACCCATAGGTCGGCCGAAATGGAAAATTTTGCTTAAAAAAGAATGTTGTTTTAAATTTCTGGAATTCCACCAGAAAAATGTGCAAAAAGTTTAATTTTACGACATGTAAAAAGGAAAAGAATTAGCTTGAACATCAACAATCAACACTCATCAGTTTAAATTGATAGAAAATTAAAACTAGATATTTCGAAACTCTGAAACTAGTAGACATAAAAATATGATCTTATCTCATAACCCTCGAACCTGGCGACGGTCTGGGGGTCCATGTCGGTGATCTTTACAGATCCCTTTCTTAATATTTAATACTTAAAATCTGTTTCTATATATTTGTAGTTGTTGAGGAATAAAGCCGACGTAAATTTTGTGAACGAGCACGGGAATAGTCCCTTACATTACGCCTGCTTCTGGGGGTATACGGAGATAGCAGAGGAACTAGTAGAGTGGGGAGCTACGGTAATATACTTCCACTTGTACTTGTAAAAATTAATCCGAATCCTACCCAGATCTGAACAATTCTTTATGATTACTGATGTTTTTGTTACAAAAGAAAAATTTACAAAATTACGTCTTCTTTTTCATTTTAACTTGCCGGACTATCAGAGAAAAATAAGTATTAAATTTGTAGTTTGAGAGCAAAAAGTTATTTCATCAGATGGTCAATATTTTCCACTTGGATCTACAGCTCAGATACAGAATATTTTCCACTTGGATCTACAGCTCAGATACAGAATATTTTCCACTTGGATCTACAGCTCAGATACAGAATATTTTCCACTTGGATCTACAGCTCAGATACAGAATATTTTCCACTTGGATCTACAGCTCAGATACAGAATATTTTCCACTTGGATCTACAGCTCAGATACAGAATAGTTTCCACTTGGATCTACGGCTCAGATACAGAAAGACAAAATGTTGACCCGGCCCGTGGTCTTTACCATAAGCGGTAGACTAGTTGTTTTCTGTTGATAACTCTTTTTAATGATAATGATAATTATAACTAGTCAACAACCGTTTCAAGAATTTTCCATTGAATATCAGATGATACAGGGTCACCCACAAAGGATTTGACATCCATGACGACCTAAAAATCTTTGATTTAAAATTTTAAAGTTGGATTTTGTCTATTCATGGCGAACTAAATAATAACCAGAACTCTCGCATTTTTTTGTTAGCATTAAAATTGGTCTTAAGGGACAAATTTAAATAAAATACAATTTGTTATGTACTCAATATACAGTACAACTACTTTAGGTGACAGTACAGAACAAGTACGGAGAAACCCCTCTAGATAAATGTTCAAACCATATTGCACAGATTATACATGGTCAGTTCTTATTCTTTAAATCAAATAATTTCAAAATTACTGTAATAACTTATTTATGTGTTTCTTTCGACGTTTTGTAATTGGTTGTTCCACAACCCTCGACTTTTAGCTTAGATTTTTTACCACTTTTTTGCCACTTATGCACACATCTTTTTTACTAGTTTTATACTTTTTCTATACAGTTTTTATCAAATACTTCTTAGAAGATTTGTTTTCTATGAAAGGGTATACATTTTTATCTGAAAAAAGTCTTAAAGAAATAAAATCAAGAACGAATTGTTTTCTGATAAATTTAACTAGTCAGTTAGTTATTCTTGGACCAGATTTCATATTTAGTGAGAAATAATTTAACTGCGTAGACATGGTTTAGCCACTTGTCTTAGCTTGAACGCCGGCATGCAAGAGAAGAAGTTCAACTTCATAAAGCTGGTCTCTGCTTAAATATTTGATTAGTTTTTTTATAAGTTATTAACTTATTAATTAAATATTTTTTTTTTCATGATACAAAATCGGTCGATTAATTGCATGGTTGTTATTTTTTATTCAAAATTTGGTGATGGTGATGGACCAAACCTTTGTCGAGTAAAAAAAGTAGATGTTAGTCCCACATTTTATAAAAAATATATTTCGGTCTGGGTTGACCCGCGTCAGTTCTTGAGATTGTTTCTGTCATGAAGATTATAATCAAACTGTTATTTTTAGTTAAATAAATGATTGTTGAGTCAAAAGTTAGCTTGTTTTTAAGTAAATTAGTTTAGACGTAATAGTTTTATTTATTGGTGTTAAACTGATTTTTAACTTACATTTTTATTATTTAGTCAACTAGTAAATTTATTTATTGTTAGATTTGTTGATTTATTGATTGATACGTTTATTAATTTGAATTTTTTTCTTTAGGTAAAGCTGCGCAACTTGGCCAGGATATGAAAACCAAGGAGTTTAAGGTAACCAAACCAAACCAAGGAGTTTAAGGTAACCAAACCAAACCAAGGAGTTTAAGGTGACCAAACCAAACTCAAAAATATCTTACAGGGTGTCCCGCATCATATTGGATCCTTTATAGTTTTTAATAGCGATTTTCCAGACTAATCAGATTTATAACTAATTTTAAAAAATTGTATTAGGTTAATAACAAGATTTACATGCAGAGATTATTAGGTTTTTTTTAGCGTTTTGTGTGTATTTTGGCCTTGAAGATAATCCAATATAGTAAAAAAAATAGTAAATTTTATATTGAGTAGATGTAAGGTGAGGGGGTATGGTTTGCGTAGATTTCATCGTGACGTATCAGTACTCACAAGATATCAGAGATCTTTAAAAAGCATTTTTCCAACCCCAATTCACCTGAACTAAAGGTACTTTAGTACACTGTACGCACAAAACTACACCAGACTACAAACTAGTCTTTCAAAGACTATACGTGTACTATACCAGACTAGAGATGAACCGAAACTCAATGTAAACTTTTCAGACATTTTAAACTACATGGATCTAGACATTTAAACTATAAAACTAGACCCTTATACACTGAATATCATACCAGACCTATTTATTATAAGATATAACTAGACCATGAGAGACCAGAGACCAGACTTGAATATACTTTCTTTAATGCAGGATCAGAGTTGGTTGGGATTAAAGACAAGGAGTAGGGACGCTACACTCTCCAGACACAAGGAAAATCATAAATTAGATTTTTCATTTTTCACTATAAAGAAATAAAATCTTGATGTTCAAAGTATACGCATCCTCTTTTTACGGCGCGCTGTGTCTGTGTTGAGCTCATTATTAAATATAATGGAATAGTTGATTGATTTTTAATCCAGGGAATAAACATAAATGAGCTCTACTTACACACCAAGATTTCAACAACGTAAGTATCATCCGTTTAAAAACAATTGATTAGAAGCTTTATGAAAATAATTATTTTGTAGATATTTTTGAGATTTGATTTTTTGGGGGTTTTGGTTTTAAACTTCCCTTTAAGTGTTCATTAGTTAACCTAAGAAATTAGTTAGTTTTTAATCCCGTTTTTATATGCAGACCGAGCGGAGAGACCTGGCGAGGCAAATGGCAAGGAAATGAGATTGCGGCAAAGATCCTGGCGCTGCGCGAGTGTACACCTCGAATCTCCAGAGATTTCAATGAAGAATATCCAAAACTCAGGTTAAAAAATCTTATAAAAAAGTATTGTATCGGTTATTCAATGCTTTTTGAAAAGCCAGATTCATGTAGTATTTTTGATTAAAACGTTTTTTAAAATGTTTAGAATATTCTCGCACCCGAACGTTCTGCCTGTTATTGGTTGTTGTAACTCCCCTCCTAACCTGGTTGTAATCAGTCAGTACATGCCGGTCGGTAGCTTGTACCATGTACTTCATGAAGGAACAGGGTAGGTTATTCTAGTTACTATATGTCTGTATGTATATTTGTCTAGGTTCTAGTCTATTTCTTTAGGTAGTTGTGTAATAAATCTAGGTCCCGAGATTACTCTAATCAAAGTCTAATTCTAGTCTCACTGACTCTATCTCTAGCCAAAACTCAAGGCTCTCAAACTCAAGCCAAAACTCTAGGCTATGTATTCGTCCGTATTTCACAAAGGTTAATCTATTACTAATTTATTTTATATACAGGTAAAATCAAAACTGACCGTAATGGACAGTCAGGGTCAACATTTAAATAGATAAGATATATTACTAACATAGATAATAAGGATCGTGATAACATAACAACAGAAAATACTACAGTTGTATATTTGTTTTGGTCACTGTCTTTATGTCTATGTTACTGTCTTTTTTTCTAGGTTATTGTATATTTGTCTAGGTTACTGCCTGTATGTCTACCTTACTGTCTGTTTGTTAAGGTATTTGTATATTTGTCTAGGTTACTGTCTGTTTTTCTAGGTTACTGTCTGTATGTCTATGTTACTGTCTGTTTGTCTAAGTTACTGTCTGTTTTTCTAGGTTACTGTCTGTTTGTCTAGGTTACTTTATGTTTGTATAGGTTACTGTCTGTATGTCTATGTTATTGTCTGTTTTTCTAGGTTACTGACTGTATGTCTATGTCACTGTATGTTTGTCTAGGTTACAGTCTGTATGTATATGTTACTTGTCTGTTTGACCAGGTTACTTTCTGTTTTTTAAGGTTATTGCATATTTGTCTAGGTTACTGTCTGTATGTCTAGGTTACTTGTCTGTTTGACTAGGTTACTGTCTGTATGTCTATGTTACCTACTGTATGTCTAGGATATTGTATATTTGTCTATGTTACCTAATGTATGTCTACTGTCTAGGTTATTGTATATTTGTCGTATGTTACCTACTGTATGTCTAGGTTATTGTATATTTGTCTATGTTACCTAATGTATGTCTAGGTTATTGTATATTTGTTTATGTTACCTAATGTATGTCTACTGTCTAGGTTATTGTATATTTGTCTATGTTACCTACTGTATGTCTAGGTTATTGTATATTTGTCTTAATAGTAAATACTGCAATGATCCGACCTAAGATTCTGGCAACCTTCATTTAGTTAAACGAGGGAGAAAGGAGGGGGGAGGGGAGGAGGGGAGAAGGGCCGGGTTAATGGGACATAAAAAGGGACTAGGGAGTCGAAGGGAAGGAAGTTTAAGGAGAAGCAAGGGGGGGGTCAAGTACAGAATAGGGAATGTTTTTGGTTTGTGTTTGACATTTAAAGTTTTTAAAACTTAGGGTTCATTCTAGGGGTGGGGATTGATAAATCGACGAGAATTTGTATTGAATGGATGCCAAGGCTTAAGGACTGTAGATTCAATATTCTGAAGGTTGGACAGGAGAGGATATTATTTTTATGCTTTTCCTTCTTGTAACGGTTTTTTAACCAAATCTTTCCTTCCTGGTATGGATTTTGTATCTTGGATTGACCTGGATTTGTGGAATCAATTGGTGCATTAGAATAAGCTCCAGTTTCTAAATAAATTGTTAAAAAATGTTTAACATTAATAAATTCTTGTATTTTAGATTAGTTGTGGATACTGTTCGTGCTCTTCAGTTCTCCATTGATATTGCTAAGGAAACACAGATCTCACATTCTCTTTTCTTCCTTTTTTGTTTAAATTCATGATTATTATAAAATAAGTTGTACCTTGTATTTGATTTTTTTTCTTGACACCCTGTTAATGTCGTTTTTCTGTAGGTCACTTAAAGTTTTTAGTGTTTTTTTATTTGGTTTTGAAAATTAGTTATAAACTTGTATTTAATTGCAAAAAAAAAACTTTTTTAAAACTATGATATTTGATTTCTGTTCCTGATCTAGGGAATGGCGTTCCTCCACAGCCTGGAGCGCCAGCTGCCCCGTCTTTATCTTAGCAGCAAACATATCATGGTAAGGAATATACCCTAAAAACAACTTATGTCCCGCCTTAAATGAATAACTTTTTGTTGCCTATGTGCTCAATGTCCCGGAAAGGTGCCTGATGAATTTTCCCAAATTGTTCCGTTTTCGGAGTTTTAATTCTAAAGACACTATGGGCTTCAGAAGTTATTATTCAAAACAAAAATAATGCCAATTTTTATTAAATATTCTGAATTTTCGGGAAATTCACAAAAAAAATAATTTTTTAACACCTTTAAAATAATCATAACCTAGAATAATACCATTAAATTCAAGAATTACCCCTGATTTCGAAAAATGGGTAAAATTAAGAAAGGTACGAGAAATTGGGAGCAAAACCTTCTCCTTGTTCCTCTCCTATCCTTCTTGGCAAATTATCATTTCCCCCTTAATGATTTTTTTCTTCCAAGTAGTTTAATGGGTTTGCGTGGACCGCAAAAATTTGTATAAGTTTTTTTCACTGTATTGGGCAAAATAATTTTTTTAGTTGACAATTTTGAAAAGTACATACCCCTGACCCTTTTTATACTCCCTCCTCCCCCCTTATGCAGTAAAAAATAAACTGCAGAGTTTTTGATAAAGTAAATCCAATTTTTATCATTGCGGCATTTTGCACTATCTTTCAGGGGATTATATTTCATTTTATTTGTTAGAAATATCATTTTCATTTTTTAACGTCTGAAATATTGTGTAGCAAAAATTATTTTGTTTTGCATTTTTCAGTTAAAGCGCAACCTTTTGCATTTATCGGATATATATCAGGATACATCAGGATATCCTTGTAAACCCTTCAATCAATTGATGGGATCAAAATGTATATAACAATTTATATTTTGATGTTGTCGCAAATCAAAATTTAAATCAAACAGTTCTGAAATTTTATTTTTTTTAATTAATGTCTGTTTAGATTGATTGTGTGTCTGATGATGAACTAGTTGCAAGAATAAATATGGGAGATTCCAAGTTTAGTTTCCAGGAGAAGGGGAAGGTTTATCATCCTGCTTGGATAGCTCCTGAGGTAGGTGTAAATAGTATAACACTGGTTCCAGGAGAAGGTTTATCATCCTGCCTGGATAGCTCCTGAGGTAGGTGTAAACAGTATAACACTGGTTCCAGGAGAAGGTTTATCATCCTGCCTGGATAGCTCCTGAGGTAGGTGTAAACAGTATAACACTGGTTCCAGGAGAAGGTTTATCCCACTACTTGGATAGTTCCTGATTTAGGTGTAAACAGTAAAACACTGGTTCCAGAAGAAGGTTTATCCTTCTACCTGGATAGCTCCTGAGGTAGGTGTAAACAGTAAAACACTGGTTCCAGACGAAGGTTTATCCTACTACCTGGATAGCTCCTGAGGTAGGTGTAAACAGTATAACACTGGTTCCAGGAGAAGGTTTATCATCCTGCCTGGATAGTTCCTGAGGTAGGTGTAAACAGTATAACACTGTTTCCAGGAGATAGTTTATCCTACTACCTGGATAGCTCCTGAGGTAGGTGTAAACATTATAACACTGGTTCCAGGAGAGGGTTTATCCTACGACCCGGATAGCTCCTGAGGTAGGTGGTGTATAGTAATGGGTCCAGGAGAAGGTTTATCCTACTACCTGGATAGTTCCCGAGGTAGGTGTGTGGGTCTCGGAGAAGGTATATATACTACCTGGATAGCTCTTTGAGGTAGTATATAAAACTATGTCCAGAAGAAGGTTTATCCTAATCCAAAATTCGTTTAAGAAAATTTTGATAAAGATGTTTGTAAACCATTAAGGTCTATTTAAATCCAGGAACCCGGAAACATAAAACTGTAAAGTGTTTATCTAGCGGATCTCAACATCCTATCTGTGAAAAATATTATTATAGAATTGATACTTTTACAAATATAAATAATACTGCAGGCCCTGGTAAAGCATCCTAATGAACTGAACTCACGAGCTGCGGATATGTGGAGTTATGCAGTCCTGCTCTGGGAGCTGGCTACTAGGGAGATACCATTCGGAGATATCCATCCTATGGAGCTAGGGATGAAGGTAAAAAGAGAGCTAGAAGATCGATCTTTTGAGCATTAAAAAGATCGTACGATCTTAATGTCATAACTATTAGAGAAAGTCTCGTCTTTTTAAAGTATGGACGACTGTTCGATCTTTCGAATATCAGGAAGATATTCGATCTTTTAATTATTAAGATAGTTTGATCATTCAAACATCAGGAAGATAATTCGATCTTTCGAATATCTTGAAAGATAGCATTAAGATAGTTAGATTTTTCAAATGTCATGATTAGCGTTTTGATCTCTCAAATTTCAGGAAGAAAGTTGGATCTTTTGAATATCTGAAAAGATACCTTAAAGATAGTTAATATTTTCGAATGTGGTTAAAATGGTTCGATCTGTCAGATGTCGGGGAAAAAGATCTTTCTTACTGCGTATCAGCGGAACAAATGTTTTCTTCGACAAAAAAATATAATTGTTTCAAACAACGAGCAGAAAGATATTTACTTCATTTAAAGACGGATGACAATTTAAAATATGAAACTTGTAATTCCTTTAATTCTTTAATCCTATCAAAAGTTTCTTGCTTTTTGTTATTCAAATTTAACCGTTCCATGAAACCCGTTTTCTTGCAGGTTTTCACAATACCATAGATGCTTTTATATCTAATTAAATTCAAAATTTAATTAAATTTATTGAACTATCAATCAAAAATATTTAAATGATAATATTTAGATTAAAAAGTAAAATTTTGTAGATTGCAACAGAAGGATTAAGACTTGATGTGTCTCCAGGAATATCTCCTCACATGGCAAAATTGATCAGGTTTCCATAAACTCTTAACTCTAAAACCTAATGGAGATAAAATAAAATTCAAATCCACCAGAAATGTGGGAAATTATTTTTGAAACATTGGGGAACAAATGAAACTTAAACTTGCGTGTTTTTTTCACACCCACTTAAAAAAAAATATTTTATCCATTGACCCACATTTTTCTCAAGAATTAAAAATGTTTACAGACCTAATACTGCGATTTTTTAACTTTATTTAATCCTAGGATCTGTATGAACGAGGAGCCTGGTAAACGACCAAGTTTTGATATGATTATACCGATCCTGGAGAAAATGAAGAAATAGTTTCTTATATACACCAACACTGAAGCTCTATCTCAGTTATAAACCCAACCCTGGAGCTCTAACCTGGAGCAATAACGACATCAACCTAACACAAATGGGTTATTAAAAAATCTGGTTTAAAAAATATTACCAACCTATTAAAATTGATTGAATGTTTCTAGTCCATTCTTTACCCTTCATTCACTGAATAAGTAAAACAATAACAAGTTGACAAATCACTAGTTTCTTCCCAGCTTACTGCTTTGCACTGATAGTTAGTAGTTGAGTGTTTTCAGTTTTCAAACTACAAATGTTAAATTATGAATTTAGAGAAAAGACGACTTTTAGAAATCCTCCCATTATTCCCATGTACATGCCGCGGATTTACAAAATGAAACCAACAATAGAAAAGAGGGTCCAACCAATGCTTTCATCAGTATTTTTCCAAATATGTTATGTCTGTCAATGTTCAATGTTAATTATGTTTAATTGTTAATAATATAAAGATATAATCTGTTAATAACAAAACTTAAAGGGAGTAACATAAAGTGCCTAATTACCAGTAATTAACCTCGAGTAGTTAATAATGTCCGTTAATTTATTTCAGTGTTAACTAATACACAATCGTATTTTACAATGGTGCTATTTGATGTAAAATATAAATTTAATAATATTTTATTTACTATTTACTGTATCAAACTTCAGAAGTTTCAGATTTTAAATGTTCTTTTAAAAAATGGAATGGATGAATGGAAGGAGAATTTTTGGAATGCACAGGACGGATGAAAAGAAAATATGATGATGAGGATGATAGGATAGGAGAATGGACTGCAATTGATGAGTTGAAGGAGAGGAGGATGAATGAGAAGTGAGGACGGATTGGAAAGGATATGAAGTAAGGATGGATAGGACAACGAATGTGAAGTAAGGACGGATTGGAAAAGAAATTGTAAGAATAGAGAATGAACTGAAAAGAATATAGAGTTAGAATAGATACGAATGGTTGTGAAGTAGTGATAGATAGGAAAGGATAGAAGAATAGATGTAAAGTGAGGATGGATAGGAAAAGACAGAAGAATGGATGTAAAGTGAGTGATGAGTTGAAGGAGAGGAGGATGAATGAGAAGTGAGGACGGATTGGAAAGGATATGAAGTAAGGATGGATAGGACAACGAATGTGAAAGTAAGGACGGATTGGAAAAGAAATTGTAAGAATAGAGAATGAACTGGAAAGAATATAGAGTTAGAATAGATAAGAATGGTTGTGAAGTAGTGATAGATAGGAAAGGATAGAAGAATAGATGTAAAAGTGAGGATGGATAGGAAAAGACAGAAGAATGGATGTAAAGTGAGGATGGATAGGAAAGGATAAAAGAATAGTTGTGAAGTAGTGATAGATAGGAAAGAATAGAAGAATAGATGTAAAGTGAGTATGGATTGGAAAGGATAGAAGAATGGATGTAAAGTGAGGATGGATAGGAAAGGATAGAAGAATAGTTGTGAAGTAGTGATAGATAGGAAAGAATAGAAGAATAGATGTAAAGTGAGGATGGATTGGAAAGGATAGAAGAATGGATGTAAAGTGAGGATGGAATGGAAAGGAAAGTAGGATGGATGAGAAAAGAGGATGGATTGGAAAGGAGGACGGATGGAAAATGTCTAATCCAACTACGAGGCTGAATAATGTTCGGAACTCAGTTAGATCTAACCCAGTAAACTAGAAACTTCGTTCCAGTCTCTAGTTTCTCCTCTAGTACATATTTCTCTACATATAGCTTAGTTTCGTTATTTACCAGTTTTTACACGGTTTTTATTTTCAGTTTTATTGTTTTTTTTTTAATCCTGGTCTCATTTTCTTATTTAAAGTTTCTTTGGTACCCTTTTTCTTACTCTCAGTACAGCACAATGCACATTTTCCAAAGTTTCATTACAAGCTAATTTCTGAAATTGTAACTTTTTTACTTAACCTTAATGAATTTGAATTTATTGTCTTAGTTATTCAGTTATTGTTTCAACTTTCATTTTTTTTTTGATTCTTTAACTTTTTGGGTTTTTCAAAATTTGATTTCCTTGGTTTTCTTTAGTATCCTTCCTTAATATTTTATCTTAAAAGAAGTTTCCCATTAGTTACATTAGTTTCAAGTTTTTATAATTTGTTAATTTCCATAGTTTCTGAACTTCATGCTTAATATGATTGTCGAAGAACTTTATCTTTATATTGATGATGCGATTATTTGAGCTTTGATACAGTGTGACCCACACAGAAGGCGACTTTAATGACGACTTCTCAAACTCTTTAAAGAAGGTCTCAAAGGATACAGTGCGACCCGCACAAGAGGAGATTTTAATGACGACTTCTCAAACTCTTTAAAGAAGGTCTAAAGGCAGTAAATCTAAAAATTATACATATATTTGTTCAGCAACGGGACCAGATTTAATGGATAGCGAGAACCACTTCTCTTAATCTTAAACCAGGGCAAAAGAAGTTGTTAAACTACCTCTGCCAGTTCAGCTACTTCTCGTTTTTAATAAAATCTGGTCCCTGTACACTGCACACTCACAGCCAGTACTGTACGGTGGTCTTCAAAATGTCTTCCTTTGTTGGAATATCTGTATCTTTAACTCGCAACATTCGAATTTCTGAACAAAAGAAAAGGGAAAAAATTACGAAATCTCGTCTGACACTGATAAATCTATTTGCCATTGTAACCCTCAAATTGAAAGACAAGTTAGACGTTAAGCAATTTGTATTATATTTTTAGAATGGACCAATAGAGTTATCATGGGGAACTTTTGCCGTGGATCCCAGGTTTGTTTAAAATCTTTAATATTATCCAGGTTTGGGGTTTGGTCACTAACTATTGATGCAGAGGCGCAACTGAGATATTTTGTAGAGGGAAGGGGGATTCTGATGTTACCAATTCTGCCCCCCCCCCCCCCCATCATCGTCCATTGCTTACAATGTTCGCCTTGGGAAGATAGGATACTAGATAACACAAGAATTAATTTTAGACGAAATACAAGAATATGCAAAAGTTAATGAATATTGTATACAAGAATATGCAAAGATTAATTGAAGATTAAATACAACAATATACAATAATTAATTGAGGGCGGATAAAAACTAGATTACGTAAGAATACACACCTTGGGTATCTGCTCAGCTAGAGTAAGTCCTCTTAGTTCAGTCCGAGCGCGTTTGGGCGCGCGGTCTCGTCTAGGTGAGGAGTAGGGAGATCAGCAAGGAGAGGGACCACCTGGTACCGCACAAGCAACAGGAACAGGTGCGCTTCCGGATCAGTCCTCTGGGGTTTCGAGAAGGACGAGAAGAGACGAGGTTCAGACTTGTATACGAAGTAAACACGGAAAGGCCTTAAGGTCTTCGGTACATCAGTATCTAGAAAAAGGACACTGCTAGAGATATGACATGGTAAAGAAAGATAGACAAGGACATAATAAAGATCACAAAGTATCAGACATATAGCAGTGCCATCCTGGAGGACTCCAGAGGAGATCGGGAGAGATAGTGCAGCCATGAACGGAACCTAGATATAGGTTGTGTGAATGGGGTGGCGTTATATAAAAATTATTTAAAGATAAAATAGAGTCAATTGCGTTATTTGTTTATAATTAAGCTTAACTTTTCAAATTTTCAGGAAAAATACCTATATCTCACTTTAGTTAAATACAAATTGTTTGAAAAAACAAATTGTTTGAAAACCTTTTCTCCCACATAAATCTTTCTTTCTATTATTTTGAAAATATAAATTATCAAAAAGTATATCTTATTTAGAAAATTCGTAAAACAAATAAAATTAATATCACAAAAAAAATCCTGGTGCTTTCCTCCTCCTCTTGGCCTTCCTTTTCCTTTTCCTGTCTCGTCCTTTTTCTCTTCCTCTTCCACTTCCACTTCTTCTTCCACTTCCTCCTGGCAGGTTATTCTTCTTGCTCTAGCCTTGAGCATTTTCTCTTCGTACATTATTAAAAAACATAACAAATTTTGGAGATTTTTACGAAGTTCAAGATTTTTTGTAAAAAAATTGGGTCCGATCGGTTCAGCCGTTTTGACGTTTATTAATGTAAAACTATAACCAAACTCCGCAATTTCTTGTATAACCAAATACCACAATTTACGAAAATATTTTAATTTAATATTTAATTGTATTTCATAGCTACAAAATTTCAAAAATGCATTATTTTGCATACTTCTTTTTCAATGTCTTTTAAATGTTACACTGAGTGAAACAAAAATTTCTTGACTACAGATACATATACAAACTTGATTAAAACATTATAAGCAGAGGTTAACATATTGGGGTGAAAGAAAGATCTAACCAAATTCAGCAATTTTAATACAACCAAATAATGCACTTTACGCCACTAGTTAATGCAAAAATTATTTAAAGATAAAATACTAGATAACACAATAATTAATTAAAGATAAAATACCAGATAATACAATAATTATTTAAAGATAAAATGGTAGATAATACATAAATTAATTGAAGGTAAAATACTAGATAATACAATAATTAATTAAAGATTAAATACTAAATTATAAAATAATTAATTGACGGTAAAATACTAGATAATACAATATTTAATTGAAGATTAAATACTAGATTTTAAAATAATTAATTGAAGGTAAAATGCTAGATATACAATAATTAATTGAAGATTAAATACTAGATTATACAGTCATTAATTGATAATTAAATACTATATTATACAATAATTAATTGAAGATTAAATACTAGATTATACAATAATTAATTGAAGATTATACAATAATTAATTGAAGATTAAATACTAGATTATCCAACAATTAATTGCTCTCTCTCCCGAGGGGAGAGAGAGCAATTTCTAGTCCGAGCCACATTCTCTTCATTTTCTCGTCCGAGCCACCTCGAAATCCTAGTCCTTTGAATATTAGCTTTTTAAAGTGTTCAATTCTCCAAAGAAAAAGCAATTTTTTAAGAATCTGGTCACGTTAGAACATTAACGAAATATTGAATTTTTATAAATCGAAATAAATACTTTCAATAGAATTTAATGTACTAAAAAATATTCACCTTTTTTACGCGCATTTTCAGATAATCTAGGTGTAGAATGCCGCAAATAATTCCAAAATTATAGAACTTTAATTCTTTTTTGGTAATTTTAGCGAAAACCAAGAATTTTTCGGGTGGTTCCATGGGAAAAATTATAGGCAAAGGTATGCCAAATATTTTGCTATTTATTTCGTATCACAAAGGTTAGCCTTTACGGAGGCAGAAGGAGAATAAGTTTCACCTAAATAAAATTTGACATCATTCTCATGGCTTTGAAGATTTTAACATGATGTAATCATTGCAATACTTTAGTCTATCCATATTTTATGCCCTAACGTGGCCTGATTTTTAAAAGATAGCTTTATCTTCAAGATTTAGAAACTTAAAAACACATAATAAGCGAAGGACGAGTATTTCGAGGTGGCTCGGACGAGAAAATGAGGAGAATGTGGCTCGGACTAGAAATCGTTGTGGCTGACCTTCCTCCCCTCCTCTCCCTCCATAAACCATCAGCAGAGACAAAGAAATGTTTAACTTCCCAACATTAACAGTATTAATATGTATATTTAATCTGAAATCGTATTGAATCCTGCCAGTATTCAGTTTTTATTGGCCCCGAAACAATAGTTGGATTTAAAATTTTAGATTTTAAAGATACATTTTAAAGATTCAGAATGTTCGTTCATTTTCCATCTTATTTCATTCGTTTTCTAAGTGAACGATTGTTTTTTCAGAAAAATCGTTTGTTCAAAAAAAAACGTACGTGCATAAAAAAGAGGATAAGATTTAGATGTCAGGTTAAACAAGAAGGATAAGATTTAGATGTCAGGTTAGTGCATGGAGGATAAGATTTAGATGTCAGGTTAGACATGGAGGATAAGATTTAGATGTCAGGTTAGAATTTAGATGTCAGGTTAGAATGGAGAATAAGATTTAGATGTCAGGTTAGACATGGAGGATAAGATTTAGATGTCAGGTTAGACATGGAGGATAAGATTTAGATGTCAGGTTAGAATGGAGAATAAGGTTTAGATGTCAGGTTAGACATGGAGGATAAGATTTAGATGTCAGGTTAGACATGAAGGATAAGATTTAGATGTCAGGTTAGACATGGAGGATAAGATTTAGATGTTAGGTTAGACATGGAGGATAAGATTTAGATGTCTGGTTAGTTCATGGAGGATAAGATTTAGATGTCTGGTTAGACATGGAGGATAAGATTTAGATGTCTAGTTAGACATGAAGAAAAAGATTTAGATGTCTAGTTAGACATGAAGGATAAGATTTAGATTTCTAGTTAGACATGAAGGATAATATTTAGATGTCAGGTCAGGCCTAAATATCCATAACAATTTCAATCTTAAGCAGCGTTTTTAAATTGGCCTGAATTCCCCCACATTGAATGTTATTATTAGATCCCCCCCCCCACATCTAAACATATCTCCCCCTCTAGGTTATATACCCATGCATTTATATTAGGAAATATGGCCTAGATATGACTAAAGAGATGAATATATGTATAATGTAATCTCTACCTATATATCTAATATATAATATATTTATCATATATATAATGTAAAATTATTTCCACGGTGCTTGATAAATATCCAGTCACTGGTAATAAATGGATTTAAGGCTGAGACTTGAGCTTTGCTACTTTCAGTCATTTATCTATCTATATATCTATCTATATATCTGTCTATGTATCTATATATATATCTATCTATCTATCTATCTATCTATCTATCTATATATCTATCTATATATCTATCTATCTATATATCTATCTATGTATCTATCTTTCTATATGTTTATATTTCTGATCTTCTATGATCTATAATATCGTCTATTTATCTTACCATCTATCTATTTATCTCCAATTAACTTTATATCTATCCATCTATCTGTATATATCACGTGGATTTAACGGTTCTGTCAATATTTCAGAAAACTGTGACTTTCGACCACAATTTGACCCCTTTTACATAATTGTATAGCCTTTTATTTTAAATACTTTTTTGTTGGCATATACATTTTGAATGAAGAAGTATAAAATAAACAAATCTGTAAGTCTAAATACTCGACTGTTGAGTTATAGACGAAAACACGTTTGATTTCAAATAAAAGAAACCAAATGCTTCACTCTCTCGTTAGTTCAGGGTGATATATATTTCTTTCTGTCTGTTTATTTATCTAACTGTCTATATATCTATCCTGCTATTTATTTATCGTTCTATACATGTATCTACATATCTAACTATCTATCTACATATATATCGATCGATCTAAATATCTATCTATCTATCTATTTATCTATCTATCTATCTCGGAAATCGGAAATCTTAATTAACTCATGAGTAATACTATTTGTTTCCGATCCAATATACATCTATTTTACATCTATCCAATACCTTCAATCCTTTTCTACTAATTTATGCGTTCTTAATCTAAAAAAAAATCTGTCATTTCTGTTGTCATTTATTTCTTACATGTTTATAAGGACTTTGTTTCTTTGGAACTTTTTTCATCTTTCATCATCCTTCTTCATCTTTTTTCATCTTTCTTCATTATTCTTCATCTTTCTTCATCTTTATCTTTTCCATTTCCCTATCTGCACACGTCAAACTAAAGTAAATTAAACGAAAGATCAAAATATTTAATGTTTTTAATCCATAAAATAAAAACCAAAGTTTCTACGAGGTCACAAAGTCGTAGCAGTAGTGAATTTACTTTCTCCTCCTGTCTAGTTTACAGTGATCATCCTTTCATTTCGCCAACAATTCTCAATACTTGAATATATTCCTCCCCCCCCCCGTCCTGCTATCCTTCCTCTTTTCTATCCCCCCCCCCCACGGTCCTTATATCCTTCCCTTTTTCTAACCCCCCCTGGTTCTTCGATCCTTCCCTTTTTCTATTTCCGTTAATTCGACCCCTCTCAACATTTTTTTAATTGGATCCATCGCTCCCAATCGATGACTTCCTTTTTCCCATTCATTTTTCAACTCTCTTCTGATTCTAGATTTGAAGAATGAAAAATGAAAAATGAAGATGACGGAACAGGATAAAATGAAAAGTTGTGTGTTAGAGAACAATCTTCAGGTCATTTTTCATCCTAAAATCTTGAAAATTAATTTAATTTTACATCCTTCCTTTAACATTCCTTCTCTCTCTATAAATCTCTCTCTGTTACATATATGCAATGCATAGCCAAGGTATGTATGCAAATTTTGTAACATTTTTTATTCCAATATCTTCAAGAGTATTTTCTCAGTTTCCTGTATAATTAATTAAATAAATCATATCGTTATGTTCAACCTATCAATAATGACCAAAGATTTCATGGTCTCTCAAAAAATTATGATACACTAGGTAAAGCTTTTAGACATGGCTATCAAAATGGTAGAATCAAAGGAGAATGACTAAAAACTAAAATGTTATTAATATGTATTCTTTGTCATACACTATATGACTTTTTCACGTGGAGAACACATTGATTTTGTACGGAGGCAAATCAAAAATACAGTTTTTTGCTTGTTTTAGGTATTGAACATTTTCAATATCTCTTGTATATTGAATATATTTTCAATATTTGGTGTAGATATATTTTATCTTGATGACACCAAATATCCGTGTGTGAAGAAGCATAGATAGACGAGGGGAGGAAGGCCAGTCACAACATTTTCTAATCCGAGCCCCCTCGAAATCCTCGTCCTTCGATTCTTATTCTTGAAGATCTGACAATTTTTTAAAAATCATTGCTGAAAACTTTAGAATGTGATATCCTTAATCCTGATCTTTTAATTAATCTGGAGATTAAATTCATGAGGAGAACAAGCAATATTTAATCTGGAGATTAAGAAAAAGATTGGATTAAGCATTAATCCCGATATCCATCATTCTAAAGTTTTATAGCTCTGGCCACATAAGGGCATAAAATATGGATAGATTTAAGTATGCAATAATTACATCATGATGGAATCTTTATAGCCATGAGAATGATGACAAACTTTATTTAGGTAAAATTTAAATCTCTTCTGCCTCCGTAATGGCCTACCTTCGCGATATAAAATAAATAGCAAAATATTTGGCATTCCTCTGCCTGTCATTTTCCCCATGGAACCCCCCGGAAAAGAATAAAGTTCTTTAACCTCTGAGTTATTTGCGGCATTCTACACCAGGAATATCTGAAAATGCGTGTAAAAAGGGTGAACATTTTTAAGGACATTGAACTTGAAAACTTTAATTCAATTGAAACTATTTTTTTCGATTTACAAAAATTCAATATTTATGACGTGACCCAATTCTTAAAAAATAGTTTCTTTCTGGAGGATTAGACACTTTGAAAAAATAACATAGGAAGGACGAGGATTTCGAGGTGGCTCGGACAAGAAAATGAGAAGAATGTGGTTCGGACTAGAAATTGTTGGGGCTGGCCTTCCTCCCGGCCCTCGGTAGAATTAAGAGTGAGGGAGAAGGGGATATATTTTGATCAATTTTCTTCTCAACATTTATGATTTTTATAACCACAAATACTTTGCCCGTCTTTCTATTTATTTTCTATTAATTGTTGATTCATATTTTTAACAGTTTGTTTGTTCGGAATTATCTTTACTAGTTTGCACTTCAGATTGAAATGATGATGTTTTTACTCAAAACTACTTTCACTGAGGAGCTATTGAGAAGAACAGAGATGCTTTGAATTTGCTAATCTGTACCCGGATACATTGCTTTTCTGATACTTGTGCGTGAAACCAAAACTAGAGGAACAATAAGGTCACAAAGTCGTTCCATCGCCTTTTGTCTAGTTCAGTGTGATATATATCCATATATTTCAACGCCTGACGTAAAATAAATTAATGTTGTAAAAGCATATTTTTTAAAAAGATTTCTTCAGAAAGAAATAAGTTATTTTGAAGCTTGTTAACAAAGTTGCTAGTTGTCAGTGGTAGATGATAAAATTATTCGGTCTGAAACAAAACAAGCAATTATTATTCTTATACTTAGCTATGTATAGTTCTATCGTAGATCAATGTAGTCCTATGTTTACTTCTATCGTAGATCTATGTAGGCTCTGTAGATATCTATCGTAGATCTATTTAGACCTATGTATAGTTCTATCGTAGATCTATGTAGGCCTATGTCTAGTTATATCGTAGATCTATGTAGGCCTATGTTTAGTTCTATCGTAGATCTAAGTAGGCCTATGTATAGTTCTATTGTAGATATATGTTGGCCTATGTATAGTTCTATCGTAGATCTATGTTGGCCTATGTATAGTTCTAACATAGATCAATGTAGGACTATGTATAGTTGTATCGTAGATCTATGTAGGCCTATGTATAGTTCTATCGTAGATCTATGTAGGCCTATGTCTAGTTCTATCGTAGATCTATGTAGGCCTATGTTTAGTTCTATCGTAGATCTATGTAGGCCTATGTATAGTTCTATTGTAGATCTATGTAGGCCTATATATAGTTCTATCTTAGATCAATGTAGGCTCTGTATATATCTATCGTAGATCTATGTAGGCTTATGAATTGTTCTATCGTAGATCTATGTAGGCCCCTGTATAGTTCTCTCGTAGATCTATGTAGGTCTATGTATAGTTCTATTGTAGATCTATGTAGGCCTATGTATAGTTCTATTGTAGATCTATAGGCCTATGTTTCGATCTATCGTAGATCTATGTATAGTTCTATCGTAGATCTATGTAGGCCTATGTATAGTTCTTTCGTAGATCTATGAAGACCTATGTATAGTTCTATCTTAGATAAATGTAGGCCTATGTTTAGTTCTATCGTAGATCTATGTAGGCCTATGTACAGTTATATCGTAGATCTATGTAGGCCTATGCACAGTTCTATTGTAAATCTATGTAGACCTGTGTATAGATCTATCGTAGATCTAAGTATGCCTCTTTAAGTCTGATGTGTATTCTTGTATGCCTAATCTTATCTCCAGAACTGATTTGTATATAGAGTACATTAGAGAAAGCATAATATAATTTTTTATATAAAAATTAATCATAAAAATAATTCCGAAGGAAAGTAATGATCGTCCAACGCCACAAAATAATGTTGTCTACTGTTACTTCTTGCTGAATGAGCATGGTTATGTAGTAAAGCCCTACTCAATAGCTAATCTTCAAAACGTAGTTATCCAGGTACAACCCATCCGCTATCAAAGTCAACCAGGACACTGTCCACAGTTTACAATCCTGTGAACTATCAACCCCACTACCACTGGGCGCGATCTCGGTAGCTTTTAATTGGACTCTAAATGTCACACAGGGACACAAGCGTAGCTTTCAAACAAGCTATTAATCGTGCTCTAAGTGCTTCATAGGGCCACAAGCCTAGCTATCAAACAAGCTATTAACTATCGATTCCAAATTAAAGGGGACAACCTGTTTCAAAACAGGAATCGATTACTCTCTCGCAGTAAGCAGTACGGAGTTACTCTATCAACTAACTTATATTTACTCAGTTTAGTTTAGAACTGGGTCCTTAACTGCGTAATTGTTATATATAACAGAGTTAAACAATTACAATATGGGTATGGCGGAGTTACACAGAATAAGTTTATCGTAATACATGATTTACGTATTTACTAATGGCAGAATTAGCTATATGAACAATGTTCAACATAATTTACTATGGGACTCTATATTTGCTACAGTTATGACAGTCTGAATTTACTAGTGAAAAACTTGTTATTATTAAAAGTTACAGTAACTTAAACAACTAAAAACCTCGAAACATTGTTTTCTCTTAAGCACTCTAAATTCTAATCTTTATAACTATAGGGCCTCTTTAGCTATCTAGAAAAAACTGTATGAATAGATTTCTATGAACATCTCTAACAAACCCCATTAACCGATCTCATATGACTCTAACTAACTATCAATCGAACTATATAACTATCTTTAACGAACTCTACGAAAAACGTTAATCGATTTCTAAAACATCTTTACAAAATTCTAGAGAATCCTGTAAACTGAAATGATATATATCTCTAAAGAACTCTATGAACTAATCTCTGTATAAAGATATCTAAAGAACTCTATGAACTAATCTTTAAATAAAGATATCTAGAGAACTTTATGAACTGATCTCTATATAAAGATATTTAGAGAACTCTATGAACCGTTCTCTAACTATCTCTATAGATAAGAAAGCTCTATGAACCGACCTCTAGTTGTATGGAATTACTTTTTCGGATATTTCTTTTTTGACGGTAACAAATTGTTTAGCACTGATCTTCTATATCCGCTTTGGTTTGGCCAGAGATAGAGGGAGAGGGGAGGAGTAGAGAGTGGAGAAGGGGGTGCGTATTAGATCAACTTCTTTTATTGTAGTCCGAGGGTCTAGATTCAATTTCTGTTATTGCGGATAAATTTCTTATATTGTGGCCCCAGGGTCTAGATCAATTTCTTATATTGCGGTCTCAGGGTCCGGATCAAAACTAAATGTATACTTAGCTCCAATCTCAACCCTCTATAAAGTTAGAAGTCAGATATTTATCAATCATGTTGTTAGATTTGTTTTTCAACTTTTCTAATCTTTATTTAAAAAAATGGAATAAATTTGCAAATATATTCTTATTTTTTGTTCAATATTTCAGTTTACAGATCGTGTTTTGTCCGTCAAACATTTTTTTAGCGGCACCGAAATTTTGAAGAAAAAAAATTTTAATTGGGACGACATTTGGATTAAAGAAATATCTTGCAATGTCTGTATGATTTTTAAAAAAATATTATGATGTACTGTTTACGCTGTACACCGTACTGTAAATTGTATGTTGATGTTGTACGGTGTATTATCATTTATCACATAGCTATACATATGTAAATATTTATAGATTGAATTATTGGAGAACAAATAGAAAAAAAACTAATGTTGTATTTATTTATATTTAGGGCTACACTCCCCTCGGCCATCTTCTTGTTTTCATCACATTCATTGCCTCACTTTTCCTCATCTTTGCTCTTATGTGGTTCTTTGTAAGTAAATTTTGGATCAGTAACATTATGTATAGTACATTTTCGTATACTAACATTTTGTACAGGTAACATTTTGCATAGGTAACATTATGTATAGTACATTTTCGTATACTAACATTTCGTATAGGTATCATTTTGCATAGGTAACATTTTGCATAGGTAACATTATGTATAGTACATTTCCGTATACTAACATTTCGTATAGGTATCATTTTGCATAGGTAACATTTTGTATAGGTAACATTTTGTATAGATAATTTTTTTTATGGGTGACATTTCGTAAAGGTAATTTTTTGTATAATCACTATATAATTTTTCGTGTATTATCACTATACAATACACGAATGGAAATAGGTTGCAAAGAAATCCATGAATCAAGATGAATAAAATCCGAAAAATGACACCATTTTCTAAACCTATCCTTTCTGATAAGACTTACTATAAGTTTGCTCGTCAAGGTAAGGATGCCATACTGGAAAATAATTATCATAAAGACTGTCAACTATTGGACCTGAAAGTAACATTAAATTACTTGCTGAACAGTTTGGCATCCTGCCTGATCAAGAATACATGAAATCTGATAGATAATAAATCAGTAAAAAATATATATATGTTCAATAGCTTATTAAACAGCTTATAAATTACCCTTGGTGTTTTCAATACAAAATGTTACCTATACAAAATGTTACCTATACGAAATGTTACCTATGCAAAATGTTACCTATACAAAATGTAACCTATACCAAATGTTACCCATGCAAAATGTTACCTATACAAAATGTAACCTATACGAAATGTTACCTATGCAAAATGTTACCTATACAAAATGTAACCTATACGAAATGTTACCTACGCAAAATGTTACCTATACAAAATGTAACCTATACGAAATGTTACCTAGAAACAAAATGTTACCTATATAAAATGCAACCTATAACAAATGTTACCTATACAAAATGTTATCTATACGAAATTTACCTATACAAAATGTTACCTATACAAAATGTTACTATACTATTCAAAATGTTGTTAGACAAAAATTTACTATTCAAAATGTTGTTATACGAAAATGTACTATTCAAAATGTTGTTAGACTAAAATGTACTATTCAAAATGTTGTTAGACGAAAATGTACTACTCAAAATGTTGTTAGACGAAAATGTACAATTCAAAATGTTTCTGCTTCCATTCATTCCTTGTCCTTTAATAGTTTTTTTAAAGTAAACTTTCCTTTTTTCCTTAATCTCAATTTGTTTTTTAAAGTAAATTTTCTTTTTTTTATTTTTGCCGTCATACGGTTTTTTGTGAGTAAATTTTGCACTCATGTAGTTTTTTATAAGTGAATTTTCCTTTAATCCTTTAGCCCTTACGAGATTCTTTGTAAGTAAATTTTCCGTTTTTTAGCCATATGAAATTCTTTTTTCCATATTTTTTGAATTTTGAATAAACTTTTCCTTATTTTTGCCCTCTTGTGGTTCTTTGAAAGTAAACTTTCACTATCTTTTGTCAACGGGCAACATAAAATTGATCTGCGCTATTTTTACTTTTTTCAAATGCTAAGGAAACCCTGTTTTTTATTGTTAGAGCTGGATAACTCTAGGTTAACTTCAGTTAATAATGTAAGGTTCCAGGGTTTATATTCCTGCAGAAGCATCAGATAAAAATTGAAGAAGTGCCAATATATTCTCAATTAAATAAAATTTGTTATATAAAATCCCCTAAAGATTCCCTATACAAGCTCTTCCAAGATCCTAACTCTAATTATGTTCTAGCCGTTCTGATTTGTTGAACTCAATGCGGATACTTAGATACAGTCTACAACATTCAGTCTAGTAAAAACTCAGGTATTTCAACGCTGTCATAATAATAGTTTAATAATAAAGTTTTTTTTCCGGGGGGGGGGGACTAAGATTGGCCAGTTTTATTTGTAAATAAGCAATGATGACGTCAGATCAGAAAAACTTAACTCGTGCACTTTAAATAGCTGTTATTGAAAATTTCATTCAGCTTACGAAAATGCGAACGAAAGCACAAATTTTCGTTGATTTTTGCGAAAATTTTTGTTAACATTTTTTTACAAAAGTGTTCAGCCTTTCGTTCAAAATCGTATTTTTTTCGCAAAAGTGTTCAAACACCCATTTTCGCGAAATTTTAATATTATTTTACCAAATGTTTTGATAACATATTAACGCCATTACGGCTGGTTGGGGGGGGGGGGTCAGTCAAAAGTACACATACTCACAACCTAGATAATGCGTCTGCATATTAAATTAATTTCAAAGTGGAAAAAAATTCGATTGTTAACGTATGAAAATTTCTTGAAAATGGATGAAATTTTCTCAAAAATGAGGTCGAAAATTTCGTCCAAAGTACATTGAAATTCGCAATTTCGTTCAACGAAAATTTCTTTGGAAATCCTAGTTCTAGCTGATATGTGAATCAATTCTATTTTGTTCTAGCTGATATGTGGACCAATTCGATTTTTTCTATAGTTTATATGTTAATCAATTCTATTTGTTCCAGCCGATATGTTGAGTTATGACCAACCAACGCCATTGAAGATCTGCAGTACTGTCCAGTTTACACTGTTCAGTGTGTGTACCATGGAATATGTACATTCAATGTACATTTTACAGCTAAAAATGATCCCATAGATTATTCGATGCAGACACCAAAAGATAGTTTAATATGCTCAAAAGCCTAGCTAAAATTGTGTACATAATATTAATGTAGTATCAAATTGTTAAAACAATATATTATATTTATAATGGATAAAACAGTGCTTTACAGTGTTATATCCTCAGAATATATATATATATATTCAGAGTATATATATTCTGAGGTTATATCATAGGATAACCCATTTAGTAAAATTTACCGATGCTATGTAGATAATTTCTAAGAAGGCAGATAGGAAAATGGCAAATAGATGAACGAATATAAGAAATTTTATAGAAAAGAAAATAGTGAATTTTTTAATACTATCTCGAGTGCCCGGCGCTGCCCAGGTTTATATTATTATCATAGTCAAAGATACTTTCGCCGTTTACCCGCGCTTTGTATTGAATCATGATTTTAGTTTAACTGCCCGGCGTTTTCCGTAGAATTGAAAAAATGTCCATAAGCTTAACTTACTCCAAGGGATTCCCATCGATTTCCTATCTAAAGGGTTTTAGCCAGTTTGGTCCAGCTGTTTGGCCAGATTGGTACAGCTGTTTAGCCAGTTTGGTACAGCTGTTTAGCCAGTTTGGTCCAGCTGTTTGGGCAGTTTGGTCCAGCTGTTTGGCCAGATTGGTCCAGCTTTTTGGCCAGTTTGGTCCAGCTGTTTGGCCAGTTTGGTCCAGTTTTTTGGCCAGTTTGGTCCAGCTGTTTGGCCAGTTTGGTCCAGCTGTTTGGCCCGTTTGGTCCAGCTGTTTGGCCAGTTTGGACCAGCTGTTTAGCCATTTTGGTCCAGCTGTTTGGCCAGTTTGGTCCAGATGTTTAGCCAGTTTGGTCCAGCTGTTTAGCCAGTTTGGTCCAGCTGTTTGGCCAGCCATGGCGAAGATAATATACCAATGATCAAAACTAAGAATAAACGGAAATAGAGAAGTAGAAATAAATAATAAATGAATAAATCAAGTCGATAAATAGATAATTATATAATTAAATAAAAAGTATTATTATCATAAAAATAACCATAACCTGAGAAGAAGGTCTATTCTTAGCATTTGCTTCGTCAAAAACTCTTCAACATTTATATGTAATTTTATATAAATACATAGTACATACATAGTACATACATAGTGAACATAGTACATACATACCTAGAGTTTGTTGAAAAAAAACGGGCTTGACGTTGAATTTTAGTTAAATACTATTTTAGGATTTTTTGCAAGGTTCATCTTTATGGTTAAATATATAAATCAACTCATCAATATGTATTAAAGATCTTTTTGGTACATTGGGGGAAAAATCTGCGAAACGAATTTTTTTCTCCATAAATCCCGTCCGTTCGGAAAATGTGTGTTTTTACACTTATTTGACAGTTACAGGTCATCTTCACAGCAAGCACAAACTTTTTTATGCCCCCTCCCCTTAAAATCCCCGGGGGGGGGGGTCTAGGGGGAAGTGAGCCCTCATGTCAGAATTGTTTCCCCCCAAAAAAATTTTCAAGGTTTTGAAGACAAATTTTTTTCTTCAATTTTTAGACTTTTCTGAGAACAATATTTGCACTCATGTGCTAATTATGTGCTAATAATTTACCAGACTTACAGCATTTGTGCAGAAATTAATAATTAGAGTTGCGTTGTTCAATTAATGATCTGCCCTTTTTTATATTGATGTTCGTTGTTCATACAGTCACAAAATTGCAAAAACTTTAATTTCTATGGTTTTATGGTCTTCAGCGCAACGTTTTGTAAAACAACGCTAATCACGTTTTCTTTTGACTTACATGCATCTACAGTGGTATAGGTGATTTTAGCAATACACTGAAGACGACTTTTTATGTTTTTAGGTTTGATGGTTAACAAGCTTTTTTCGAATTACAAGCTTACACGTACGTAATCAAAGAGAGGCTTACTAATTTGACAGTTTCTCTTGGCTTCTAATTTGAAGTGTATCCATGCTGTTTAACTGCTTGATATAAATCAATTGAAATCGAAGGTCCTCTTCATTGTATTGATATAATCGCCAACCACTGTATGCACATAATTTGCTTGTTTGTCTGTTTTTTTTGTGTGTATCCAATCGGGCCCGAATTTGTGTGGGACCTGAACAAAATTTGATTTTCATTAAATTTTGAAAATCCATGACATTTTTTTATAAGAACCGCGAACTTTTTTTGTTTTTGATTTTCAATGTATGCAAAGAGAAAATTTTCACAATTGAAAAATAAGTTGGGCGCGAAGCGTCCTGAAAGCCTAGTATATTATATTTACCATATATCTGAAATGTAACACACAGATTTTAAAATATGTTTAATGATACAGATATACATAAAATGTATTGTATAATGTATATATATATACATAATGATAAAGAAAAATGAAATATTATGGCAATACATAATAAGACAAAGCACAAATTATGATAATAAAAAGACTTTTGATTATATAGTTTATATTAAAGAAGTGACAGATGCCCAAATAATCACAGGGAAAAAAATTTCATTGGTTGGATTCAACTTTGGGTTAAGAATACTAGACATTCAGAAGTGTCTTAAATTCTAATTTTAAAAAATGTTATTTTTTTCTGCCAAAATTCCCAGGATTATTAGAACTACCAGTAGACATGGAAAGCAAAGAAACATGATTTTGATTAGTTTTGAAACTACACTTAGACAAACTAGTTTAGTTTAGTT